AGCCACAGGTGCTCAGCGGCACATCAACAAGTGAAGTCAATCTGCCGGAATTACACAACATAAAGTTGGGCAGCTGAACACAACAAGAATCTACCTAATCTGCTATTGCAAAGGACCACGAATACTGATAGCTCGTCCAATGATCAGAATCCACTCAGTCACTGGAAAGAGTATTGCGTTGTCCATTGCTCTGCTCATGAAACAACAGCATGCTTAATAAGTGGAAAACAGCACTCGTCAAATTTCTCATTTTCCAAACATACAGATTGATGTTCCAAAAACAAAAGCAACGCACTTGTTAGTGCTCAATTAAAAAAAACATGTTTCAGGCCTGGTAAGTGCCCACTTAAAAAACGGGAGCACAAAATTAAGTGTGCAGAGCTAACAAGCAAAGATGACTATCAACAGTAACAATATCATTAATCATCACACTAAAAATGAGAAACTTACAGAAAAAAATCATCATCATCATTATTACAAGTGAATTGAGTTATTCTGAAGGATGCTACTTACGGATGAGGTGTGCGAAGAGGTGGTCAGATATGAACCGGGACGCCTCAGCACCACCATGACCGTCGTAGACGCCCACGAATGTTGCGGCAGAGCCTGTCTCCACTTGGCTGTGGTCCTCCAACGCCTCGTTGGCCTGCACGACGGCAAACGAGAACTCACCCGCCGCGTGGCGCCCGAGGTCCCGCGACCAGAGCAGGTCGTCGGCGACGCCGCGGCCATTATCGCTGGCGCCGTCCTCATCCTTCCTCGTACGCGCGCACCTCCGGACCGGGCCCAAGCACGCGGACGCAATCTTCGTCAACCACGACCACATCCCTCATTTCCCACCTGCCTCGCCGCTCCTCCCCGATCCCCAGAACCGCACCGGATGGGGGGTCTCTCTTATTAGCACCACGAATTCGCCCCCTCTTCCTGGAAAATTACACCTGTAACATGACCAAATTAGACTTTGATGGCCGATCCCCCCGTCCTTGCTTATTATATAATTAAACACGACATCCGACAAGGGCTATACAATTTTTTTAATTCAGATTGCTTCTCCTCGAAGCACGAGAATTGCAGAATGGAAGAGAGAACTCTCAGAAGCTTACCGAAACGACCGCGTATCAGTACAATGATTGGAATTCACGTTCAGGAAACTAGATAAACTATCAGCTCGCGGAGATTTTGACTTTGGATTTTTGGAAGCTCGGATTGTCAATGAGGTTGGGGCGAAGAAGACCTAGGAGTTTTTGGTTTGGAGAGGTGGAACAGGCGGCGGCTCAGCGTGAGTTTTGCAGGGGACCGGATCAGCAGATCTATTTATAGAGCCGCTTAGCTAGAACGACCCTGAGGTTGAGGTTATTTACGAGAGTGGCAGCCTGTAGAAAAAGTGCGGAAAAAAAGTGCACCGAAAAAGCAAAAGCGCGCACCTGTGACCGCGACTGGAATCGTCGGATTGGAGAGGGCTTTGAGCCTTTGACTCTCTGGTTTGGTTCATGTGGCCATGGCTCATGGGAGTGCACGAATTATTTCAACCGCTATTTGTTTGATGTGCTCTGATTAGGTCATGTACACTTTCACCTCTAATTAGTTTCTTTGATGAACGCCAGTCTACATTTCAAGCATCACCCGAGTGTTTGCTGTTCATCTCGATCCAATTTCTCTATTGTCGCCTTCAGAGCTGCACAAATGGACAGTTTGTTACCGTTTTAGGTTTAGTCACTGGTTTGGTTGGCCATGAATTTTTTCAAGCTAAACGGTGAAGCTTTGTTATAAGCATGGCTTGCCATGATTTTGTCCTAACTCTTCGCCCTGTTCGTTTGGGCTGGTTTGGCTTATAAGCCATGGCTGAAAGTACAGTTGTCTAGTTTGGTGTGATAGAAAAATATTATTCGTTGGCTGATAAGTCATGGTTTATAAGCCAAATACGACCAAGTGAAAAGGCTCCTTATCTTTGCCAAATGCAACTACCTCCGTCCCTAAAAGAATACAATTCTAGAATAATGTCACGTTTTAATACCTTAAGTTTGACCAATTATAGATAAAAAAGTATCCATGTTTATAATACCAAATAAATACCATCAGATTAATTATGAAATGTATTTTCATAATAAATTAATTTAAAGACATAAATATGAATATTATTCATTAAAAATTTGATTATCGTGACACGCAACTCATAATTGCATTCTTTTCGGAATGGAGGTAGTACTGTATACTATAAATGTACTCCGGATGCATTGATGCTCGAAGCGTACTATTAACCGTACGACACAAATCAATTGGTCTGGTGTGGAAATATGCAGTGACAAACCAATTACTACTAGCCATATACTGTACTACCATATACACGGAGTATGCAGTGACAAACCAATTACTCGCAGATATATACATGGAGTGCGTCTATTTTTTTTTTTTTTTTTAATATTTCTCGATCGAGATTTTTGTTTCCTTTTTAATATAAAATGGAGTTATATACTAGTGCTAGATAGTCTTAGCTGTATACACGGAGTGAGGTCATGTTTAGATCAACTAAAATAGTACTAAGTTGCTAATTGCTAAATATAACTCTAGCTGATCCAAAAAGTACATCTTATGGATCATTTTGAAGTATTCAACCATTCGACTTATAGAAAAAGCTATTGAAGCTTATGGCCCCGTTTGGGTCAGTTTCGGATTCTTATAAATCAAGTTTTGCCTCTAGTTTTTTAAATCTGGATTCTAAGCAAAAACTAATGGGTTGTTTGGATCCCGTCACTTTTTAAGAATCTGACTTCACTTATTGCTCTTTAGGTCACAAAAACTAGCAAAAACTAAGTACCAACATTTTCCTGATTTTTAAGAATCTGGTAAAAACTGGCACAAGAAACTCACAAAAACTAACCTATTTGGATCTCTAAGTTTCCAAAAGCTAGATTCTTAAAAACTGGAGGAATCCAAACCGGCCCTATAAAAGGTTTAGCTAAACAGAGACCAAATTATATATGGACACTGCCGCTCGGTCGCCAAGACAAAGATTTGGTGTTGTTGCAGCCGGTGGAATCATGCACGCGACAGGCTATGAAATTTGATTTTCCGCAAAAAAAAAAAGGCATGAGGTGAACGGTGGCAAGCTAAAGCGTAGTACACAAAACTTCCGCTGTCATTGAACAGAAGCACTCATGATGCATTGGTAGCTGCAAGTGTACAGGAAGACACCGTAGCAAAAGGCTTTTCGCCGACCCTCTGAGCTCCAGATCAGGCCATATGTAGTGTGAAAAAAAGCGCGAAAAAGTGCAGAAAAGAGCCCACGGAATGGGATCACGGCAGCGAGAACTCCGCGAGAGAGGTGAACGGTACCGGACGCCCGACGGACGGCTGCGTCGACCACCCAACACCCAACCCTTCAAAAGTCAAAACCGCGGCCAGAATGAACGGCCCTAAACCAAGCACGCACGCAGCAAACTTCCAGATCGAGTCATCAGTCATGGACCTCATGGTGAGGATTGTGACCGCCGGCTTTCAGCTCGACGCAAGCAGACAAGCAGTGTGTGTGAGCATCGCGCGAGGCAAGCCCTGGGTGATCGCGATAAGCAGGGTTAACGATAGATAGCCATGGCCTCCTTGGCTCCTCCTGCCCTCCTCTCGTCGTGCCTTCAGTGATAAAGCGGCCACACGGAGAAAAGGAAAAGCGCAGCGAACCGAGCTGGGCGAGCGATGCCCATCGACCCCCCGCGGCCCGCCAGCAACATGTGACGAACGGTGGTCCAGGTCCAGCCAGCAGCAGCCCCAGCACCTCGCGTCCTCGCCTTCAATGAGCGCGTGTGCGTGGCCTGTTTTCTGAGCGCTTGCAACGTCTGTCGGGCATGCACACGCACGCGGGCCGCGGCGCGGCAGCCGCTACTACCGCTAGGCTAGCGATCTCCGTTTCCGGCGATCGAAAAGCGCGGCCGCTGATGTGATAAGGTCGTCGGGGCAAGGGGAGGTGGGAGCAGATCTGTAGGCCCCGCTAGGCCGGTAAGGTCAATGCCTCCGCCGCTATGCCTCGAGAGCGGTCGCCGCCCGTAGCCTACGCGAGAGCAAGGTGGTGGGCGTGTGTGCGTGGGTCTCGAGGTGGATGTGACCTGTGGATCTGAGTCAGACGGCACTAGCTACCACACCATTTCTGGCGCCATCCGTAACGAACAAAGCTTCAAGACCGTGTGTTCGTACTAGTACTGTACACATGCGTTACGTGTTGTATCCGCTTCCCTTTCCTCAGATCACCATCGCTCGCTGCTCAAAGTTGATCGCCGCCGATAACTGATAACACAGCTGACACAGCTACTAGGCGATGGTCGATCGATCGCTTGAACTGTCTGTGAGCTTTGACCACGGATGGTCTCCTTTTCAGGACTTGTGCTACGGCGAGGCGTGGGTGTGATCTGTGATGGTTCCATGTCTCTTTCCTCTACCTACATTGTTTGCCCAAACCAGCGTTTGCTTAATCGCGGCTGAGCCTTCTCGTGAGCAAATAAATCCACGATACGATTTATCACATGATATAGATAAGCTCGTCAAGCTGGTGGGTGAAGCTTAAACTCGGGTCAACTTTTCAGTTCGAGAGAAAAGGATTTCAGTTCTACTACTTTTGCAAACATCATGGAAATGCTGAATGAATGGCCCGTTTAAATTCGTTTGGGCCAATATTCTACTAAGTCGACGGGCCCATGGGCCATGGGCCTTTTGCAGTTCGGTCGAATTTTAACTTGTTACTGCTCGACCGGTTTCAAAATATGACGTGATGCGATTCAAAAAAGGGGAAATTGTCTGGCGGACATCCAAAGTGATGGTCGTTTGTTGGTGGACACCTAGTTTTGAGAAGTTTGCCAGAAGACACTCTGGTTCGTTGAAATTAGGCCACAGGACACCGCGGCCCGGTTTCAGCCGGTTGAGGAGAGAGAAAAATTTCGTTTTAGACATCCAGTGCCCCTGAGCCACACTTGGGTCTGCCCCCAACCTGATCTGGTTGGACCCCCACGGAGGGGATGGCGCCATGGGAGGGGAAGGCAGCGCGGGAGGCCGCTGCCGGAGGGGAAGGCGCCGCCGGCCTTGCGCTGCTCGTCCTGGCGGCGCACGGCGGCCTAGAAGACGGCGAGGAAATCGCGGCCGCGGGCATCGAGGATCGCGTTGCGGTCCTTGAAGGGCCGCTCGAGCGTGCGGATTTGCTTCCCCGTGGTGGCCTCCTCGGCAGCCGCGGGATCCTCGGGCGGCGACAAGGGCGGGTGAAGGTGGGGCTCCTGCAGCTGGAAGGCGGAGGGGAGTAGCGGGTCGACGGAGGGGAGCGAGTTGTGGCCGAAGCGGAGGAAGTCGAGGAAGGTCTTGCGATCGGGGAGGGAGATGGGCCAGATGCGGCGGAGGCGCACGGCCTGGATGAAGTCGGTGTGCTTGAGGTCGTGGTCTTTGCGAGAGAAGACGCGACGGTGGAGAGAGCGGCACGGCGGCTGACCGCTGAGATGAAGGCGGTGGGGATGGAAGCCGGGAAGGTGTAGTCGGAGCCGAAGTGGATCCCGTCGTCGGAGAAGATGATCTTGTCCAGCTCGTTGCGCGCGGGGGCTCCTCCAGCCACGGCTCCGCCAACCACGGGCGCGAGCTCCACCGGGCGCAGTGGAGGCGGCGGGCAGCCTTGCCCATAGCTCCTCCGACCGGGCGCGATGAAGGCGACGCGGCGGCCTCACCCGCGGCTTTTTCGGTGAGGTGCCGTGGAAGCAGCCGAGCCTCGCCCACTGGCGCGTAGGCGCGACCCGCTGGAGGTAGTGGGGCGCCCTCGCCTAGAGTCGCGCCACCAGCTCACGTCATGGAGGAGGCAAAGGATGAACTGGCCACGGGCGTCGCAAGTGCGTGGTCACCAATGGCGTGCAGCAGCGTCATGGGCGGCCGGTGTGAGACCTGCTCCAAGATGACGTTGAGGCTGCCCATGGGCGGCCGGTGTGAGACCTGCTCCAAGATGACGTTGAGACTGCCCTCGCGCCCGTGGCCGGCGGAGCCATGGCTGGCGGAGCCCGCGCCTTCCCCTCCGGTAGCGACCTCTCGCACTGCCATCCCCTCCGTTGGAGTCCAACCAGACCAGGATGGGGGCGGACCCAAGTGTGGCTCAGGGGCACCAGATGTCCAAAACGAAATTTGATCTCCCCTCAATCGGCTGAAACGGGCGCGGTGTCTTATGGCCTAATTTCAACGAACCAGAGTGTCTTCTGGCAAACTGCTCAAAACCAGGTGTCCGCCGGCAAACGACCATCACTTTGGATGTTTGCCAGACAATTTCCCCTAAAATATATGCAAGTCCTATATAAAAGAAATGGAGGGATGATGACTCTTCTGAAACATCGCTAGGGCCAAGGGAGCCTAATTTGTGCATTTACGAGAACTGATAAAGCTCTAAAGCAGCACAAGAAGCAATGATAACCGGCAAGTCTTTTGGTTGAAAATGGATCTGATCCAGTGTCGGGGACCAATATTAGGGTACCCGAAGAGGAGAAGCTAATGGTCATCAACATTGATTCAACCGAGCAATCAAGAGCGTGCCTACAACTCCAACCGACCCCCAGGTGCGCGGGCTCTGCCTTGCCCGACCTCCGGGGGTGGGTTCCGCCTCGCCCGACCCTGAGGCCGCGATCTCCACCTCACCCGACCTCCGGGGGCGGGCTCCGCCTCGCCCGACCCCGAGGCCACGATCTCCACCTCGCTCGACCCTTGGGTTTGTGCTCTGCCTCATCCGACCCCAAGATCGCGGGCTCTGCCTCGCCAAACCCCTTGGGTGCGGGCTCCGTCTCGCCCAATGGGGACCCATATCGCCGTCAACCACTCTAGGTCCAAGCGTATGGGCCTGGGTCAAAACTCTAACACCGAGGAAGAGACTGGCATGCTTCGATGTAACCCGCGGCCACGATAGGCCATACCTGAGGATTCACACCAAGAACAGCGTCGGGCATACCGATGTTGTTCTGCTTAACTCTCATACAAACACTGACAGGCGCGCCAATTCACCACGACATCCGTCGGGACGGAGTTGAGCGCCATGACCAGCGGATGACACCCGTGCATGGCGCCAGTGATGGACAGGACCGCGACATGGAGCCATCCCTGTTGACATCTACAGGGTTGGCCGGACCCGCATGAAGGAAAAGAAGTACCCGACGATCCTGGAGGCCTTCCTCTCTCTCGTTCTTCTCCTTTTCCTCCGCTATAACCCGCGCTTTCCCTTGGCCTATAAAAGAGAAAGTAAAGCGCCCCATGAAGGGGATCCCGAATCGATCGACCCATCAAGATCTGATACATATCCACACAAGAGCATGACACAAACGCACAGCCGAGCAGCGATCGAGCTCTCAGCACCCACTCACTCCTTTCACCAGAGACTTGGGATCATTTCCCTCTCTAGCTCGTTTGTAACCTATACCACAAACTTTCAGTGCTAGTAACACGAGCAGCAACGACGAACTGGACGTAGGGACTTTCTGCTCGAACCAGTATAAACATCGTGTCCTCTAAGCACACCATCCAAGCCAGACGCGCAATACTATAAATTTACTCATTGGTGGTAACTTGAAACACCGACGTTTGGCGCGCCAGGTAGGGGCCTTTTTGCGCGTCTCGACATCCACACCAGGCCTCGGATGGCTATTCATGACATCAGCTGGGTCCCCTGCGTGCACGTGCGTTTCGGGAACCTGAAGTTCATCGTCACGACGGAGGGAGGGTTGGTGCAGGCTCCCGCCGAGGCGCTTGAGGATGAGGTCCCTCGGCTGGTCCCGCCCTTCTCAAAGTTAGTCCCACGGGGTCAGGAAATCAATTAAAGAGAAGGCAGGAGATAAAGGCACTTTAATTGGGGGAGACCATTTCATCAAGGCGACCAGCCAATCTGTTGGCCAAGATTTTCATCACCAATTTGGCAAAACTTGACTGAAAGCTATTGCATTGACGGATGTATTTCAGAATTTTGAGACTGGATAAGTTTTTGTCATTTTCATCTTTTTTGTTATATTGTGATTTCTTGGCTACAACTACAATAAAAAGTTTCATGTTTCAGGCATTCCATGGCTACAATTTCCTTTAAACATCAATGGTTCTATTTCTGATGAATTTGCTTCTATGTTACTACTCAATGTGCATGAAAGCCATTTTTATTTTGCATGTCCTTATAATTCAATAAAAACTCCATATGGAGGCTGTGAGTTATGACGTATTCTCTCCATTCCAAATTATAAGATGTTTTGGCTTTTCTAGATACATAGCTTTTGCTTTGCACTTAAATATACACTATGTTTAGATGTATGATAAATGCAATGTATCTAGAAAATCAAAACGTCTTATAATTTGTAATGGAGGGAGTATAAATTTTAGAATGAGCGCTTCTTTTTTAATGAATCTCAGTGGGGGATTAGCACCCAGAATTAGTTTTTAGAATTAGGCGTAAAATGTGAAGTAGACTACATGATAATTAGTTACCTTTGTTTTTTTGGAATCATTTAGGCTGATATACACAACAGTGGGACCATTGATTATATAGAATTCATTGCTGCTACATTGCACCTCAATAAACTGGAGCGTGAGGAACATCTAGTTGCAGCATTTTCGTATTTTGACAAAGATGGCAGTGGTTACATTACTGTGGATGAGCTTCAACAAGCGTGCAAAGAGCATAACATGCCAGCTGCTTTTCTTGATGATGTGATTAAAGAAGCTGGCCAGGATAATGTAAGTATATTGGTTTTCTTATGTTAACTTTGCATTAGTTTGGGTTTAGATTTTAGTTATCCGATGCATAAAGGATGCACTGAATCTCATTTGGTTGTATTTGTAAAGAAGCAGGAAAAATTTGCATTGTAGCCATCCTTGGACAAGAATGATTGCTGATATATATACCTGAACTGCATAGCATACATTATGATCTGAATTCTGAACGCTTACTGATTGATGTAAAAGGACCTGAAGATGTACAGTATTTGTTTGCTGTTGCGCAACCTGTAAATTCCCTTGCCCATTTGTGCCTGTGGTATTTCTTCAGTATATTAAATCAAAATGGTTACAACTTCTGCATTGTGCACACAGCATATATGACCTACCGCTTCAACATGTACAGTACTGCCCTTTTTCTGTTTTCCTTAATCAGGATGGGCGCATTGATTACGGGGAATTTGTTGCCATGATGACAAAGGGCAATATGGGAGTTGGGAGGAGAACAATGAGAAACAGCTTGAACATAAGCATGAGGGACACGCCTGGTGCCCTCTGAAGTCTGAACATCCAAGAAATTTGTTGCACTATGAGAGAGCGCCTGGTACAGTCTGCGGAGAGATTCTTCCAACCCCTTCCTCCACGAATTCTGCCTACATTTTTTGGTTGCTATATCTGTTGAAGCATTGTAGGGGCGTGTTTCAGGAGTTCAGGGTAGGGTAATCCTGCTGTTTCCTCGATGAAAAGTGTGAAAATTATTATGCATTAGTTGGATTGCAAATGATCATAGACGTTGGGCGTATTTGGTTTTCTTGTGCCCTTGCCTCACCTAACCCTAGCTGGCCAAGGATACCCTCGCCAGCCGAGGCAAGCCGGCTCACCTGAGCAAGCAAGGAAAAAGCTTGACAGCACGGAAACGAGGCACATGGTAAAGAATCCAAACAGTCTGGATTTTGTCTAGACAGGCTGAGGCAAGCGCTAGCGAGGAAACCAAACGTGCCTGTTGCCCTTCCACTAATTGCAAGTTTTCATATGGAGCTGGTCCATCACGTAACACAAAAAATGTCTGTTCCTGTAAACGTGGATATGCGATAGCCTGATATAAAAAAGAGGAATTTCAAGCTGGCTTAAGCATATGTAATTCCTAATAATTTGTTTTCAATTATTCATCATATGATGCAATGCGTTGCAGGCCGTGTTGGGATCCATCCATCCAACTAATTGTTAGCTGCATTTAGTTATCAGCAGCATGTTATTAGCTGGGTACTGCATTTAGTTACGAGGAGCATGTTATTAGGTGGGTAGTTCATTTTGAGGTATTAGGTGAAGTGTTTGGATCCACTGAGACTAATTTTAAACTAAGACTAATTTTAGCAGGCAATAATTGCGATATATGGATCCACTAGAACTAATTTTGTAGCTAACTATTATCTGCTTGATAAAAAAGGGCCTAACCTTAGCAGGGACGATGAACATGGATCAAGAGGCGTGGTAGTATACTTTTAGAAGGTTCCTGAAGTGATGGGGACAAAACATATGGATTGCAAAACGTGGTAGAACACATCATAGGAACGTAATTGTTCCTAGAATATAAGAAATGTAGCCACATTCCACATTCCACATTCCTAATTGCTAACGGCCTAACTCGAATTGTTGAATGATCTTCACAAGTCGAGGTTGAGGTGAATGAGAACCCAGTGTGGACGTTTGGTGCCTATTGGAGCTTTTTGGAATATAATAAAGGGGCACCCTATATAACCAATTATCCTGCGTCTGTTGCCAATAACATGTTTGGTATCTTGTATGTAGATCTTATTTTTACTCAATTCCAAGAATTTGTATAATTAATGGGCTTGGCTAGCGCCCGGACGCCCGCGCTTGCCCTGCCGCGCTCTGCCCTGACTGCTGCGCCTCACCTCCTCCTACGTGCCTGCCCCAACGTCGAGCACCCAGTCACCCACCTGCACGCCCTGCTCCTTCAGTCTCGCATGCACCAGCAGCGCCCTCTCTCCACCACATGTAGCTACATGAGTGGCAACAATTTTTCCTCCGCATGCACGGTTCCCATGTGAATGCACTCCACTCATGAAAAAACGAAACAACGCCTGCCCCGCCTGGAACTATTGCGCATGCACGCTCGCCCCCACATGCCGCATGCAACTGTTGTGCCTGCACCTGTTGATGCGCATGCAGGTGGGGACCACGCCACACGCTGGCTTCGCTTGCCGCGCACGTGGGGACCACTACACCCGCGGGGACCGCATCTTGAAACAGGTGAAACATTTACAAACATGTGTTTGCAACATACGTGTATAGCAACTACAACATTCAAATAAACACACTTGCAACATACCTGAAACAGATCAAACATTTTGAATAGACGCTTGCAACATATGTCTGAAACATATGCAACATTGCAACATATGCAATATCCAGATGAGACACTTGCAACATAGGTCTAAAACAGGTGAGACATACACTTGCAACATATATGTATAACCACTGCAACATATGCGATATCTAGAAAAAAACACTTGCTACATACGTTTGAAATAATTGAAACATACACTTGCAACATACGTATATAGCCATTGCAACATATGCAACACCGAATCTACTTTTACAACATCCAGATAAAACATATACAACATACATCTGAAACGCATGAAGCATACATTGCAACATGTGCTATCTACTTGTTGTCGCCCCATGGACGGACTGACTCCCTGAAGCATTACCGATAATTAATTGGTACATGTATGTTAGGTGGCAGGATGTGTAATATAGAGATAGTGAATAATTGCTCTATTTCAACTTCTATACGTTATAAGGCAATCCTGATGATATATTATGCGTCGTTAACACACCCGCTGATAGGTAGCCTAAACTTGCAGACGACCTGTGAGTGCGAGCGTTGGTGCAAAATTTTACCCGCAGGTGTTACGACTTACGAGAGAGGATGTGATGGCAGCTTGGGCCAGCAGTGGCTCCAGCAACAGGGCGTTGACTCTCCCGGCAACTTGCCCTTGGGCCAGCTGCCAACGCGGCGGCGCAGCGAAGGATTCGGACACCTGCCGTTGTCCCTCAATAATGCCACATGCCATTTGCTCCATCTCCGTTCGGAGCGCAGCAGGGAGCGACTGTGAGAGAGATGTGATTTGACACAACCTCAGTGCTCAGTGCTTGGGTCAACATCCACGCCGCTCCTCAGTTGAGCCGACTAGTGGTTGAGGATTGACTCGACCTACTAATGCGCGCGGCAACACCAAGAACTCCAAGCACGCAACTCATGTGCGCACGCAGCACAGCCGCCTCTCCCGGTCCCAGTGAAGCTTCCGCTCCGATTCACGGCGGCGCCCTTTCCACGGCCGACCGACTTCGTTATCAGGACACGCTTTACCCGTCCGCGAGGAAGCATCCGGCGATATTGGAGCGCGCAAGAACACTCGAGGAGATTTCGTTTTTAATTGCCACCAGATAGGCTCTGGAATTTTCTGAGACGCATCGATGAATAATATATCAACTCTTATCATCCATGATCCATGGTTGTTGGCTGGCAAAGTGCAAGGATCAGTCATCAGTGTGCAAAGGCAGCGTTTGGGCTCCAGCCAGCCGCCTCAACAACAGCCCCACTATACTGTCAGTGCACTGCTGTGCCGTCCATAGATACGAAAGTGCAGATGAGAAGCTACAGAGTATGTTATCTTTCGATTAAACTAGCTCACTGATTTGTCTTGCCAGCGTACCTCAGGTGCTCGGATTGGTTGACCCAAATACTCTACGACCACTGGCAAGTGGAAACTAGCAGGACGGCCTCAGTGTTTGTGTGGTCTTTTTGTTTGCTTGTTGCATAGTAATGTTTTGTTATTCAACCGCTAAACTAGTGGCATTGGCAGTGCTCACATCACATGTCTGCATTAGGTCTGCTGTTTGCATGGTGCATTGGCTTAGGTGGCCGAGCTACTTCATTGGAGGGTGGAGGGTGGCCCGTGGAGGAGAGCTTGCGCTTGCAAGCGTGGTTGACTCCTTTGGACCCGAGACGTCGTAGTCAGGTACAGATTTCGTTGGATTCCGCGTTCAGCTCTTCTTTGCAATAATGTTCTGCAGCCAAGATTCTTGGTTTTTTTTTTTTTTTTTAAAAGGATGGCAAGAGATCGTCATTCTCCTCGCGCTCGCCTTCTCCCACGTCCTTCTTCTTCCTTCATGCGCCTGTGACCCCATTCCCACTGTCTTATCCGTTCTTCCCAAAACTCCGGCGCCTGTCTTCTTTTCCAACTCCGGCGAGCTTAAAAGAGAACGGCTTGGGGGAGGAAGGCCGACCAGGCGATGGGATGGCGGGAGGCGGGCGGCCTTTGGGTCCTGGCGGTGGCACAGGCGACCGGGCCAGGTCAGGGTGGGGCGTTGCGGTGAGCTCGCCGGCGCCGTGCCCTAGGGTTAGGGTGGGCGGGGGGGGCGGGGCGAGGACGAGGACGAGGACGAGGACGGCGGAGCTCGCCGCGCCCTAGGGTTAGGGGAGGGGAGGGCAGAGCGACGGGGGCGGGAGGTGAGCGGCGCGGCTGCTGCTGGCGGGGCGGCGTGGGAGGAGGGGGGGAGGAGGAAGGGCGCAAGGACACGAGTTGGGGGAGGAAGAACGCGCAGCGGGGTCGGAGCGCGACGGGTCGCGGCTTAACGTCGTCCCTAGGTTAGATGGATCTCACTGAGAGATACAACTTTAATATAAAAAGTAACTTTATTTGACATCATACGAACACGATATTATCTTTCTAATGCGACAAGCGCCAGTACGCGATTATTATGCTGCTAAAATTTTATATTATTTTTTGAGCATCTTAATGTTCTTAAATGGAAAACTTAGAACTATAAAGTTGTAGATCTTATCGAGATCTCCAATTTTCATATAAAATTTATCTTTACCCGATCGAAAAGTTATGATTTTTCTAAAGTTCAGTCTTGTCACGCCACTCCCGATGGCATGACAAAACAATATGTCACGCCGATGAAAATGGCGTGACAAGGTTTTTCACGTGTCAGATGTTGCCGCTCCAGCATTGACGCGAACAAAAGGTCAAATCTATAAATAAAAAAAAATAGGTACGGTTCTTATTAAAATATTGAATAAACAAGGATCAAAATAGCTACAATGCATGGATGAGTTAGATCTGGTGAAGTAAAAAATAATAACTTCACCTGTTGTTAGTTTATTTTGAGAGAGAGATATAAAACGGTTACTTACTACATTGCATGAATAAAATGAGAGCCTAGCTCCATCAAACGGGGCCTACCGAGAAATGATAAATGGGCCTACATATTATTTGAAACAACAAATGGTGCCCAATGCAGAAAAGACGATACAACTTTGGGATGGAACAAATGGAAAAGATCAAATTCCCCACACAAAAAAAAACCGCAAAGACAAAGGGAAATTGTTCAAATATCTTGATGACCAGCGTTTATATTATCCTGAAATACATATTGTATATTATCGTTTCTCTTCAACGTTGGCCAATTAAAACGAGCACTCCTGTCAGCTGCTTAATTAACGGTTAATTTCGTGATACGAATGGAGAATACTCTTCGGTAACAAGTGAACCCACAGCCTCGTCACTGATGATGATTGTAGACTCTCCCGAGTGCAACTAACTTCAAGCTTTTTATCATTGCACTGCACATATGTAAAAATAAATTACAGGGACAATTTCTATCCATCAATCAGGCACACACATCTTGATGCTTGTCCAGAACACTCCCCCCAGCGAGGAGTGAGCTAATCACTACTCACACCTAAAAAGGAATGAAACCTACAAGGCTATAAAAACAAGTTCACCATGGTTCAGTTCCTGTGTCGAGTGCGCACGGCACTGCTACGCCAAGAACGTCGGCCCCTCTGCGCTGCAGGGCGTGGGCGCCTTCCAGAGCGCGCTGATGCCGCCGGCACCGCCGGGGCGCGCGCCGCAACGGCGGCACTGCTCGCCGGGCGGCAGCAGGTCGACGGCCAGCACCCGGCGGCAGGACGGGCAGGAGGAGTGCGCGCGCAGCCACGTGTCGACGCAGGCGGCGTGGAACGCGTGGCCGCACTGCGGCAGCACGCGCATGGCCTGCCCCTCCTCGAACTCGGCGAGGCAGATGGCGCACTCGTCGGCCCCTCCTCCCTCCTCCTCGTCCTCCGCCTTGCTGCTGTCGGGGACGTACGTGACCGTCGGGAGCGAGCGCAGCACCTCCTTCTTGACGCCCTTGTTCGCGGCTTTGGCGCCCGGCTGCTGCGACCGGCCGGACGCCGTGGCCCAGCGCCGTGAGCACGCGCACCGGGCGACGAGCCCCAGGCCGAGGACGCAGACGAGCGCGCAGAGCAGGCCGGCGAGGATGAGGATCATATCCGAGTTGATGGAGTCCTCCGGCGAGCCCGAGCCCGCGGGCGCTTCGACGAGTATCCTCGCCATGGGTTTGCAGTGCACTGGCTGAGATGGCGGCGCGAGTGCTGTGTGCGTGCGTGCCGCTGTCGTTGGCTGATGCGGAGGCGGGAGGCTCTGGGCAGGCGGCGTGAGAAGTGTGTTGAATGGGTTGGTTTGGCTGCCCTTTTATAGAGCGCGAGCACCGGGGCGCCGGGCGCCTGGATGTAGTTTATCGGTGACTTTTGTGGTCTTTGGATTTTGGAATAACAGCAGAAAAGAAACAGAGGTCTCACAGCAGGTCAGTGGATCGAATGTGTACTGGTTGAAGCTAAAAGCTGGGGGTTCCTTTTGGTTTAAATAGCCGTTCACTGTTTGAGGGCTTAATTTGGCATTCACAATGCTCTCTTTCAGTACTTCTTCTAGCCAACCATCTATAACTAGTGAAAGACTTTCGGTTGAAGTGCCTTATAATTAGGGATGAAAACGGATCGGATACAAACGGATATCACTTATATTATATTTGTTTTCATATTTCTGTTCGGGTTCGGATTCGGATTCGGATTCGGATTCGGATTCGGACACGGATAGCGTTCGGATACATATACGAATACGGATTGACTCGGTTACGGATACGAATAATGAGTATCGAATATGGTATGAATCGGATTCGGAGAAAGTCGGATACAAATATCTATTCGGATATTGAGTAAAAGCAGCATATATATATATATATATATATATATATATATATATATATATATATATATATATATATATATATATATATATATATATATATATATATATCATACGTCATAAAACCATTACACCACTCTATGAGTCCATAATCCATCTAGATTAAGCCGAAAGACTAAAGAGTAAAGCAACAAATAAGATAAAGATACGATATACATCATACATCAAACATCATACAAGCATCAATCTTGGCATGCATGGGTAGAAATAGCCAAGCACATGGCTTCATAGGTCTCATGGAGTCATGGTCATGGATTCAAGATCTACAATCCTTATATAGGCCATTTTTTCATTTGAGAAAGTTTAAACAAAATGTAGTTCAAATTTCACAAGTGTGTGACATAGTTTTAGAAAGTCTGTATGAGATTCAAGAATTTGTGACTAGTGTTTGATAAAACTTTCCCAAATGGGAAAATGAGCTATGTAACAATTGTAGATCTTGCTGAGATGATCAAACTTGGTATTCAGAATTTTTTCATCTGAGGTCATTTAGTGTCTCATTTGAGCAAGTTTGACCAAGTCAAATTTGGTCAAATGAAAAAACAACACTTTGACTCTAGTATTATGAACTCTAAATGACTTCAAATTGAAAAGTTTTGAATACCAAGTTTGTTCAACTCATCAAGATCTACAATTCTTGTTTTGGTCAACTTTCCATTTGAGATAGTTTGGACGGTTCAAATTTGTGATTTTTAAATTTCGATGCTTACAAACTAGTTTTCGGAACCCTAGATTGTCTCAAATTGAAAAGTTTTGAATACCAAGTTTGTTCAGCTCATCAAGATCTACAATCCTTATATATGCTATTTTTTCATTTGAGAAAGTTTGAACAAAATGTAGTTCAAATTTCCCAAGTGTGTGACATAGTTTTAGAAAGTCAATATGAGATTCAAGAATTTGTGACTAGTGTTTGATAAAACTTTCTCAAATGGGAAAATGAGCTATGTAACAATTGTAGATCTTGCTGAGATGATCAAACTTGGTATTCAGAGTTTTTTCATCTGAGGTCATTTAGTGTCTCATCTGAGCAAGTTTGACCAAGTCAAATTTGGTCAAATGAAAAAACAACACTTTGACTCTAGTACTATGAACTCTAAATGACTTCAAATTGAAAAGTTTTGAATACCAAGTTTGTTCAACTCATCAAGATATACAATTCTTGTTTTGGTCAACTTTCCATTTGAGATAGTTTGGACGGTTCAAATTTGTGATTTTTAAATTTCGATGCTTACAAACTAGTTTTCGGAACCCTAGATTGTCTCAAATTGAAAAGTTTTGAATACCAAGTTTGTTCAGATCATCAAGATCTACAATCCTTATATATGATATTTTTTCATTTGAAGAAAGTTTGAACAAAATGTAGTTCAAATTTCACAAGTGTGTGACATAGTTTCAGAAAGTCAATATGAGATTCAAGAATTTGTGACTAGTGTTTGATAAAACTTTCTCAAATGGGAAAATGAGCTATGTAACAATTGTAGATCTTGCTGAGATGATCAAACTTGGTATTCAGAGTTTTTTCATCTGAGGTCATTTAGTGTCTCATTTGAGCAAGTTTGACCAAGTCAAATTTGGTCAAATGAAAAAACAACACTTTGACTCTAGTATTATGAACTCTAAATGACTTCAAATTGAAAAGTTTTGAATACCAAGTTTGTTCAACTCATCAATATCTACAATTCTTGTTTTGTTCAACTTTCCATTTGAGATAGTTTGGATGGTTCAAATTTGTGATTTTTAAATTTCGATGTTTACAAACTAGTTTTCGGAACCCTAGATTGTCACAAATTGAAAAGTTTTGAATACAACATTTGTTCATCTCATCAAGATCTACAATCCTTATATAGGCTATTTTTTCATTTGAGAAAGTTTAAACAAAATATAGTTCAAATTTCACAAGTATGTGACATAGTTTCAGAAAGTCTATATGAGATTCAAGAATTTGTGACTAGTGTTTGATAAAACTTTCTCAAATGGGAAAATGAGCTATATAACAATTGTAGATCTTGCTGAGATGATCAAACTTGGTATTCAGAGTTTTTTCATCTGAGGTCATTTAGTGTCTCATTTGAGCAAGTTTGACCAAGTCAAATTTGGTCAAATGAAAAAACAACACTTTGACTCTAGTATTATGAACTCTAAATGACTTCAAATTGAAAAGTTTTGAATACCAAGTTTGTTCAACTCATCAAGATCTACAATTGTTGTTTTGGTCAACTTTCCATTTGAGATAGTTTGGATGGTTCAAATTTATGATTTTTAAATTTTGACGTTTATAAACTAGTTTTCCATTTGAGAAAGTTTGGACGGTTTAAATTTTGAAGCACTAAATGATTTCAAACGAAAAAGTTGTAAACAACAAAGTTTAATAACTTTTTTAGATCTACAATTTTTATTTTGATCATTTCTCCATCCAAGGTCGTTTGAATAATATCCGGATAATATCCGTTTTTAAATATCCGGATATATCCGATACTTAACCGGATTATCCGATATCCGCCGGATATCGGTGATATTACATCCGTATTTGATATCCGCCTAAGATATCCGTTTTAGTATCCGTATCAAAAAAAAATTACGGATATCCGAGTAACTATCCAGATAAGTGTTCATATTTGTTCGGTCGAACGGACGGTCGAATAAATATCCGTACCGTTTTCATCCATACTTATAATCCTTTCAAAATTCTAGGAAAAATTTCAAACATTTTTAAGTTGTAAAGCCACGAACCATAAGCCCAGTCCTTGGTTCGCTTCTCAATGCTGGTATGGCTTTCTCGGTTGGACTTCCATGGTAGGCTGAAACACACCAGTTTTGTTCTGAACCGTCCAATCATCAATCGTAAGCAATCGGAGCCGCAGAAGAAGCTAATATCTAGGGTGACCGCGTGCCGCAAGGCTGTGCGTCGAACGATTTTGCACAAATCATTCACACCCTCTCTGAACAGTGAACACCCCCTTCTCCATGTCCGCCGGCACTGCGAGCGTCGTGCCCCTTGCTTCCTCTGTCATTTTCTTCAGCAGCACACCACCATGCATCAGCCCTCAGCCCTCTTCTCCGGCAATTGCTCTCCCTAAACCCCAAATGAAATGGAGTCGATATATTTGATCAGCTGCACCTTTTATATGCAGGAAAAAGAAAAGTAAATGTCAGCACGCCGCCGTGACCGCGAGCAATATCTAAACCAGGGTACGTGCAGACCTTAGCCGTCGCAACCATGAAACAGATCCGGCCAGAAAAAAGCATTGCGAGCAAGGGACAGATGGCGTTCCGTGGAACCACACTCGCCGCACTTCGCCAAATGTGGGTACTACAGACACTTTCGGTCTCTTCTCGCTACCTGTCACTCCGCCATAGCCCGCATGTGCTGTTCCACTGACTGACCTACCGGCGCGCGGACGGCGGTGGTCACACGTCCATTTCGAGCCCGCGCCGAGACCTCCTCACGGCCGTTCTTTAGATTCGTCGTAGTACGTCGCCGCGCGTGGTCGGCGCACAGCCGGGGCCTCCAAACCGCACGCGTGGCACCAATGCGCTCCGAAAGCAGCCGCCGCGTGGCGCGTGTGGCGCGTGTGCAGCGGCAGCGCAAGTGAAGTAGTGCGCGGTGACATGCGCACATCCGGGGCGGGGACGGACGGACGGCCGTGTGCTCCTGCTCTCCGAGGACTAGTTTACCGGGGAGACGGGCTCGGCCAGGGATGGAAATGGAACCTGCCTTTTTCCGGGTTAGGCGACCCGACCTCCTCCCGCGACGCCGCGGCACTACCGGTCGAGCGAGCGATCGGTAGCGGTAGTGGCGAGGCAAAGCGGAAGCGGCCTCCACTACGCGCGGTTCCGCACATGGATGGAGCCGCCCGGGAGGCGGGAGCCTTTTCCGCGCGGCACATGCGGATCACATGCCCCGGCGGTAATGCTGCTGCTGCTGCCTGTGCGATGCAACTGACGGCCGGCAGCAGCAGCGGCAAGCGCACTGGTGGGACGGAGGGTCTACTCTCGCGCGGCCGGGGGCACGGCTGGAGACTGGAGTGCTCGCGTGCGGTGATCTGTCGAGACGAGCCGGTTGGGTGGTTTGGGGACGTCGTTTTTTCTGCCTGAAACCGCATGTTCCGTGGACTACTGGCCTCGTCTTTCCTGCCTCTGTCTTTATTCCTGCCTGCTTTTGCTCAAAGCAGTCAGAGCCGCGGCCAACTTTCAGTCACTGTGGCCGGAACGGTCTTCGACTCTTCGTGGCCTGTTGCCCTGTACAAGCGCGATGCTATTATATGTATTACTGGCCCGTTTGATAGTGAAGGCATTTTTTTCTTCAACTCCACGAACAGTTTTATCGGTAGAGTTGAAGCGGTTTTGGTAAACCGTTTGGCAAAATAGTTTTCCTGTGAGAGTATGTTTTTAGGGGCCTGGACGAGGAGACGGGAGAAACCACTTTTTTTTTTGGCTCCATCCCACCCCAAATCATTATAAAAGCATGTTTTTAGGGGCTTCATCAGTGAAGCTATTTTACTTTATCCCGTTTAGCAGAAAATAGTTCCAAACAGCTCCTGGAAAGCTGATGAAGAAGCCCTACCAAACGCGGCGCGTCTCAACCTTCCGTCTGCAACTGCAGTGCAGAGACGGGTTCGCGCTACTACACCTAATCATCGACCAAACAATGACCACTTTTTTTTTCTCGTTCCCTCGAACTTGGAACGGGAAAATTTGGGCGACATTTCTCTGGGAAGCAGAATTCATTTCGGCCCTGTTAAAGGGGGTGGCATCAAAAATCGCAAGGACCAGGTGCAAGTGACGATCACTTCGGGCTCTTCTTCTTTTCTTTAAGAAAAAGATGAACGCCCCCTTGCGCGGAACCGTCCGTATCAAGGATGAACGGCCCCCCGCCTTTGCTCTTTAACGAAAGGGGCGGGGGCTGATCGGCTGATCCAAAGGTGGGTGGGAGTGTGCGCCCAGTTTATTTGGCTTCGTTCTTGTTCGGCTTAACGAATATTTTTCTAACATATTAATTAATGGTCTTTCATCGATAAATTATCAGTCAAGCGAACATGGCTTTTAGTTCGTTGCTGAATGAGCAAGCCTGACTGGGAAGTCGATTAGCTGTTTCTTTTCTTTTTTATAGCCGACGTCGATTAGCTGGCTCATAATTCTTTATAACACCCTGCCAAAAAAGACGAGGTTTTTTAGCCCTTGTTTAGTTCACCAAAACTCCCAACTTCGCTGACTATGCAAAAAAGATTCTGACTGGGAAGTCGATTAGCTGTTTCTTTTCTCAAAACCGATTGTCGATTAGCTGGTACTTCATTCTTTTTATAACGTTTTGCCAGAAAAACGACTAGGTTTTTATCAAATAAAAACAAAACGCCACTCTGGACATAGTTTAACTTACCGTAGTTTAACTTACCGTTCAGGTTTGGTTCTTTTGATTCTCATCATACCTTGAGTAAATTGAACGGTATTTCTCCATGAAATTGTTAATGTCCAAGTGATGCCCAATACTGAGAACAGTAGCACGACTGTGCCCAAAGAGCAACTGCGCTTCACGTATCCAATTTTCAGACCATCGAGACGAGAAATCACTCCTCACCTGGAAAATGGGCCCAGAGGACTGCAGCAGTTTTTCTGCATGCCAACGGCAATAGCAGGTGCCCACTCGCACTCGCTTGTCCCATGCTCAGATTCCCCTTTAAAAGCTTTCTTCGCTTTTGTTGCCTCTTGCGTTGTTACTATATAGATAAATCATCTACACTCGATGCAATTTGAAAGATTCAAATATGTATGCCTGCAATTCGAGACGAATCCTTTTAGAACCAAAACGTTGAGAACTTCAAATAATACAGGAGTGAGGACCGTTCTATCCACAGCTGATTTTCCAACGATGAGAGACACAGCGTTAGCTAATGGTATCGAATTGGCAGAGTTGATACTTACCAGCTCTTCCTGAAAGAAAACATATTTTCCCATAAGCTAGCCAATTGACAGTGTATCCAGCCAATTTAAACCAACTATTTATTTTGTAGAATAAAGATCCTAAGGTCTTTGCAAAAAGAAAAAAAAAAAAAAAGGCAATGGTTGCGCCTCTGCTTTAGACTAGGGAAGTCCAATATTTATGTAATATAATATCCCACATTTTAGTATAGAATAAGGGGCAATTTCCCTATTACACTGTTCTGATATCAACAGAAGAACATCAGGTGGACATAATGCTTCATCAGGTTACCTTTCTACATGAACACATTGTTTGGAAGACTGAAACCCAAGCCAACTGTGCCAGCTACCTCTAGCCCCATCGGAGGGACGATCACTTCAGCCACCAGAACCAGGAGTTTTCAGCGCTCAAGCTGGGGGCTCCACTTTCTGAAGGGCATCAATGTGTGTGCGGGGAGGAGCCTTTCAGTCACCGGAACAAGCCTCGATATGTTTTCAGGAGTGCTGAGATGACCCCGGAGGTCTATGCTCGAAAGCTGGCGCTGGAGTAGTCGGTGGTGGTGGATGACACTGATGGAGAGGCCTGCAAGGGATGTGGAGGAGGTAAGGACATCATCTACAGGACCGTCGATGTCAACAAAGGAGCCAGAGTAACGTACAAAACTTCTACTTCCAGTCTACATGGATAAGACGAGGATTGGGCGAAGGGGAAGGTCAAGTATTGGCAAGGTATCTCCGCAGGTTTAGTGCATGGGTCCATGAGGACTATGGAGGAAGCATATTTTTCACTTGCTACAAGATCACTGTAGATGATCTTCCTGACCCTGCCTGGAACATTCATTATGTGCAACTAGACCTGGGTGATGAGTGTGTTGTCCACTGTGTCGATGACATTACTAGGAGTTGTTGGTCCATTGTTGTGTTCAAAGTGGGCGCTTAAGTGAAGAACACAAACAAAATCCCTCTCAAGTGTATCTACAGATTACTGAGCCATCCGAGGGTGGACAATTTGATATTGAAGTTCCCTCACACAAGAGGCACAGGGGGTTCAAAAGAGCGAGGGATTACGTTTTGTACATCCATGTTGATATGATTGAAGACCTGAGATTTTTTGAGTTTGGTTCAGAAGAGCTAGAAAACTCCGCCTATGGTGGGGCATCTTTGGTGTCCCAGCATAGCAGGTCCCAAGCCCTGGTAAAGGAGGAGGGTTGTGTTAGACGCGACGAGCCAATGTAAAAACTTAGCCACTTTAATAGAGATGAAACCCAAAAGCATTGTGGAGTCCTAAGCCAAGCTAATAATATGAGGAGAGGTACAGAAAGCCCGAAATTGACATAAGGGAAGGCAATAAAAAGAGATTTGAAAGCTTAGGATATACCTAGAGATCTATGTTTGAATAGAAGTACTTGTAAAACAGCTATTGAAGTGACTGAACCGTGACTTGGGGCTCTTGGTGGGTTTCAACTCTAGCCTACCCCAACTTGCTTGGGACTGAAAGGCTATGTCGTCGTCGTCGTCGTTGTTGGTTCAGAAGAGCTAGAAGCAGAGGGGAGAGTGCATTGAAGAAATTTCAGTGGGAGAGGCATGTGTCTGATGGAGAATACCAAGTCTCCAGTCGTGGATGTCTGCAGAGCTAGCAGGATTTCACATAGAAGGGTTGGAGGATGGATCACGAGTGGATGGTACAAGGGAGTCATCCAGGCAAAGACTTAGCAACAGGGAGAGGGAGGGAATGCCTGATCACTTGACCACTGAGGAGGAGAAGGGGATTATTGCTGGTCTTGCAAGGGTTGACACAAGTACGAGTCATCCCCGTAGAAAGGCCCGTTACCAAAGACGGTGTTGACGGCCCTAATAGGTGGGGGAGCCCTTGCAAGGAAAGCACTTCGTTGAAGAACTACTATGGGAGACCTGATATCCTGATCAAGACCAAATGCGAAGAGTTGCCCTTTTCCTCTGCTGAGATTGCGCTGAGGCCATCAGAATTGATCCTGAAAAATGGTTTCAGATTCCAGAGAAGGCATAAAACATGCATGTCTTTGGAGGATTTATCTGGTCCCTACTCCCTATGTGATGACAGTGTCACTTCCTGAAGAACCTGGGAGTATTGAGATCAAGTCCTCCGGTGAAATCCTCCTAGTTCTGCAGACAAGTTCTCTGAGCTGGTTCCTCCCTAGGTACCCTTGACCCCAAAGTCTGAAACCTTGCAACCCTTTTCAAACAACGCATGAGTGGCCGCTGATCCATGTAGATAATGGCACATAATTGGCAGCATTAGTTAACGGCATCGAATTCGCAGAGTTGATACTTGATGTTTGATTACGCACCATCTGTTCCTGAAAGAGAATATTTGTCTGTAAGCTACTAGCCAATTGACAATGTATCATGCAATTTAAACTAACTATTTACTTTGTAGACTAAAGATCCTAAGGTCTTTGTAAAAAATAAAAATAATGGCAAGGGTTCTGCCTCTGTTTTATATTATGGAAGTCAAATATTTATAGAATATTCCCATTAGGGTGGAGTAAGGCACGATTTCGAGTACTATTACACTGTTGCAATATGAACCAAAGACACATCAGGTTTACCTTTCTCCATGACCACACTGTTTGGAAAAACAATATCATTCTTAATTATGTGCACCACTTAAAGCATGCTTAAATAAATCCAATCAAAGAATCTTATAAATCATAATCATGCTCTCAAATTGTTTCAAGCAGTTAAACTAGTATGTGGCATAGATTTTCATTCTCTTTCAGTGTCCCTCATGGTTAACAATTTAACCTTCTACAGGATCCAAAGTTTAAGACTGTAAGTTCATACCTACACACGGAAATGTTGATTTCGACCTACAGCATACAATAGATGAAACAGAAGGAATGGGATAGTAAGCAAGAAAAACAACCCTAAGTGTTTGTTTTCAAAAATACATGTTCAGAAGTTGACATGTTTTGCAGTATTGAAATGCTTGTCTTCTTCCACTGTACAATCCTCATGGGCTTAGTAACGAAAGACTGCAAAAAAATTCAAGTATAATCAGAGTGCCATCACAAGAAAGAAAATTGACACAAGACAAGCTGTACTTCATTGAATCACAAAATGATTTTGGTTGAAAGAATTGATATGGACTGACTGGGGCAGCAGGAAGAACCCTTTCGTCCGTAGACTACTTCTTAGGTTCTCCTTGCTTGATTACAATCAATACCGGACTCTCTCTTTTATAGAGACAACTTACTTGACCCCTAAGTAATATCCTAACTGAATCAATCTATCTTATTCCTTTCCTAACAAACCAAACCAATCTAATCTAACCCGGTACTGTTCACGCTGTACTGTTCACGCGCTACAGGGATGAAAGGGTTCTTCCTGCTGCCCCAGTCAATCCATATCAAGAATATTCAGAGTCTAGCATGTCTTCGTAATTTTCTACTCCTTAGTAATACAAGCCGGGGTTCACCGGATCTTTTAAAAAAAAATTCACACTCAAATCCATGGAGGCATCATACCTGCAATTTTGTGGTACCCTCCATGACAATGGCCTGAATTGTTTTAAGCTTGGTGGCATCGACATATAGCTACTCCAGTCTTCCATCATGATTCTTAGGTCATGGATCTTGCTCTGCAGTCCAATACAACAGTTCGCATGCATGGTGCAAACCTTGTTTAAATCTCTGCTTGGCTCACAAACACCACCGAAGTACGTAGTACTTAAGAACTTAATTGTCAGACCAATGTCTGTGGTGTAAGGATCATGCTTTATAAAATTAAATACATCCTGATCATGGTACCCAGGATATCTAAATCGGGAAGAATACCAAAACTTGTAAAACTCTATGCTTTGATCGTTTGATTTCACATAGTTGAATCCTCCATTGGCTATGTTCCTCAAGTCAGTCGCATTCCCTACATAGTGATCACATGCAATCTGAAAGTCTCCATCACTATAAAAGAGGGGAAATGGATTGCGGAACCACATGATATCAGCATCCTGAAATACAGAGGGGAAGCAGTAGTTTATATCAGATAAAACTACCAATAAGAAACTCACACTGAATAATTCAAAAGCTGAAAACTAATGCGTTAGAACAGCAGGGATGTAAAGGTATAAATTTACCGAGAAAACAAAGCTGTAACCTTTTTCAAGCACTAGCCGCAAGAAATCCAGCCTTTTCCACATCATTTCCAGATACCCAGTTGTCTGAAACCTCTTCTCTTGAGAAAAATCCACATCCTTGGTTGGAAGAGCAAAGCAGTAGGGATGGATCTTGACACATTGTTCATACGCCTTCAAATCAAATGCTACTATCACAAGATGCCTCAAGAGTGAACTAGTACCAACACCACGCCGAAAACTATCAATGAAAAGATCTATCACTGAGCCTGGCGAAGCCCATGCAGCATTGAGGGTCGTCAATATTATGGTCTTATTGTCCATGGAAGCCTCCTGCAGAACCAGTTCTAGTCTGAGATCTTCGCTGTCCTACAACAACAATTATGCTGATTGAGAATTGAGATACCAAGTTACAAGCTCTGCCTCATGACTGATATCATATCAATCAGGAGATGAAAATTGGGAGTAACTGCTTGACTGGAGCATAAGAGTAACAACCACATCAAGTTTATTTCTGACATAACAAAAGGATCTTATTTTAGGTCAGAGCATAAGAGATCATGCACAAGTGTGCACCAGAAATGCACTCATGTATTTAATTTGACAACATGGCATAAGACAAGCTACTGGTACTTGTTTATTCCACTCAGCTGAGAAGTAGGCTTAGAAAATCAAGTATCATAAAAAACGACCAGTTTGTCCAACAAGGCAACAAATCTCAAATATGTTAACTTATCAGCAATCATTGCATGATCTTAAAGGGAACCAACCAACCAAAACACCACTATCAGGTTCAGGGATGCAAGAATTGCAGTCTCAGGTACGAAACTAGCACGATTAGGAATATTGAGAGCGCATTTCGGGCATAAGCAGCAAGCATGAAAACACCTATAGCAAGCACAAGAATTCTGGAATAAAAGATAAATAAAGAATTTAATTTGAAAAAAGAAAATATTTCTATTTCGGATTATTTCTTTTTTAATAGGATGGATTTCATAACCAGAATTTTCTTCTTTTTTTATTAACATTAAGAAAAAAGAATATAACTAAAATGGAATTGGCAATATAATTTTTATGCACTTTTGAAATGAAAGAAAAAGGAAGGATTTTTTGCAATCGTTATTTCTAACTCAGATCACTAGAATACTGTCAAACATAGAATAAAATTTAACAAAGGTAACAAAGAGGAGGCAAACCGCAAACCCCACCAGATCGCCGGTGGGGAAAGGATCTAAGTCGCCGTCATCCTCGGAGACTTGAACAGGAGGAAGCGGCGGCGCAGGCAACAAGGGCCGGTGCACACGCGGGACATGGATGAGCTTCGTAGTCTCCACGGCGGCGCGGTACAGCACGGCGCAGGGAAGCGCCACTGCGGCCGCGAGGAGGAGCACCGCCGCCGCTCGCCGTAACGCCGCCGACGCGAGCGAAGGCGGCTGCGGCGAGCGTCCCCCGAAGCCGCGCAGGGATGTGGCGGAGGCATGGGACAGGTTTTGCCGCGACGGCCTCGCCATTGCAGGCGGGCGTAGGCGGCCGCGGGCGGGGGCTGTCAGTCAGCTTTTCACCGAGGGCCTGCCGCTGAGGCGAGGGCATAAAGACGAGACGCCGTGACCGATCGAGTTCAGTGTAACCGTCGCGAAATGATTCGTAAACTAACCACGAAGACGTATAGTGCAACCGGAAGGTTGAAGCCATGGAGTGCGCCGGGCGATCCGCCTGTAGTCCGACTGCCGCCAATGTGTTTTCTAGGCCGTGGCTATTCATAATGATACGCCACGGGTGTCGTGCCGTCCAGACAGACCGCTCCCCGCTCCGCGCACCCTGTCCGCGCCGCTCGTTTCACAGGCTACGCGCCCAAACCGCTTGTTCGGTTGCGTGATTCGTTTCGTGCCTGGTTTGTGAAAAAATATTGTTGGTTGGTTTGTGTGAGAGAAAAATATTATTCCGGCTGAAAATTTACGATCGTTTACGATAAACCACAACCAAACGAACAGGCTGAAGTTGTTCGCTCCACCCACGCTTGCGCTCGCTCTGGGCGCCCTGCTCACGTCACTTGCTCCGCACGCCTCGACCGCATAGATTCATCCCGGCCGTCGCGCGCCCTGCCTGCCGCGGGCCCACGACCGTCTCGAAGGGACACCTCCACCACGCTAGTTCACCGTGCCACTCGCCCATGTTGCACTGAAAAACGTATAAGTGTTTTAGAGGTATATTGCAAGTATTTTATATGGATGTTGCAATGGATATACACATATGTTTCAAGAGTTTGTTCAAAATATTTTTTCTGTTTTAAACGTATGTTGCAAGTATTTTATCTGGATGTTGCATATATTGCAAATGACTCTCTTGCAAGTGTATGTTTTGAATGTTTCATCTGTTTCAGATGTTTTGTTGCAATTTTTTATCTGAGTGTTGCAAAAGTAGATATGAATATAGATGTGGAAGAAGTCCAAGCCCTCGATGGTCCAGCTGCTACGACTCCCCTGGTGTTGCGAAGATAGAAGCCGCGGACACGGGAGCTATGAGAACGGGCGCCGTGGCGGATCGGGCGGGATGGGGGGTGGGATGGGCGCAGGCGAGGGGCATCGGGCAGGATGGGACACAGACGAGGGAGCTGCGTGCGTCGAGCGCAGGCACGGGAGCTCCATCCGCGATGGACACTGCCTCTAGAGCGGGATGGGAGCCGGGCGAAAGGAGCTGCGTCCGAACATCGAGCGCTAGTCACTCCGTTTCTACGTGGGTTGAGTTTGTTTATGGGCCGAACTAACCATATGTTGTATTTTCAACTATTTGTATCGTGGAAAAAATAGCGGGCTATAGGGGTGCTATAGCGGCGGGAAAGACTTGACGCTAAACTATTCCTATTTGTGGCGCTATGCCAACTTTGACCGCTATTGTACGCTATAGCGCCGGTAAGTTACATAGCTTTTACGTTCAAATAGCGGCACTATTTCAAATTTTACCAACAAGCCATACCAGTGACAATTTTTATTTCCTACTTATCATTTGTTACTAATTTGATATTTTGGACAATTAAACATTGGAGTTTCATGAACCATGTTAATGTCATATTGGTAATGTTATCTAAACTCGTGGAACCTTAGAAATATATTTGTGTTCATCGAATTTTATAACCATGTTTTTTGCATTAATTACTGATGCTTTTCATAAAAACACTATCTGTCATAGTGTTGCTATAGCTTTGTAGTTGCTAGAAAAAGTTACCGCTATTTTAATAGCCCGCTGTTTAAAACCTTGATTTCTATGCATAATAGTATGATCCGGCAGGGGCGCAGGGCAGCAGCAGAGAGGATAAGATCGATCACACGTCAGAGGTCGTTTCTCTTTAGCTCTGAAAGACTGAAACAGAAGGGAGAAAGCGACACGCCTTAGCCTTGGTGTAACGGTGCACACATAGGGTTGGTTCGTTTGATAACGATGCTAAAGTTTAGTCTAGTCACGTCGAATTTTAGATGCTAATTAAAAATGTTAAACATAGGTTAATTATAAAACTAATTACATAAATGAGGGTTAATTTGTTAGTTGGAATGTTGGATTGGATCTAGACTAAAAACTGGTTCACTTATTAGTCTCCATATTTGGATGGATAAGAACTGGTTTTTTTTTTCTACTCCATTCATTCTAAATTGTAAATCGTTTTTTGTTTTAAGTCAAATTCTATAACTTTGTTCGAGTTTATAAATGAGTTCATAAACATCTACTACATCAAACTATACTTGTTATTAGATACTCTCTCCATTTTAAATTATAATTCATTTGACTTTTTTGACCAAATATTTAACCACTCGTCTTATGCAAAATTTTGTGTAAAATATCATTTCCTTTGTTGTGACTTGCTTTATTAATAGAAGTTCTTCAAGTATTTTATAAACTTTGATCTATAATTTGGCCAACCTTTTTTAACTTTTGTAATAGAAATTTAATACTATTAGATTTGTAATAAAATATACTATCTGATAATTCTAATTTTGTAATAATAAACAAACAATATAATATCAATGAATGGTTAAAGTATAGTTTAAGAAATCGTTCATGTTAGACTAGGCCTTATAAATCAGACCAGAGAGATTAGTTGTTTGTCCAAACTTTAGCTGACTAGTTTGAACGGAGCAATGACCCTCCACACCCTCCGGGGACCACTGTAAGCCTCATCGTGCGTCCCTTTTTTTTAAGTCTTGTTTGATACATATGTGTCGATCTCAATACATATATGTTGAAGTAAGTTGAGATAAAATTTAGTTTAAATTTTAACCCAATAAACTTCAACCCACGTTGATTGTAGATGAACCGTGAACCCTCATCCAGCGTTCCAGCATGTTGCAATTCCAATTTCGCGTTTTTTCCTCCCTCGTGAACCGTGGCGAATTCTAGAACGGTCGTGGCCCGTGGGTCCTTACGCTTACGCGAGGTGATGTGTGTTAGGCAGATGGATGACACCCGATGTCCCGATCCCCCAGGCCCCCTCGGCCGCTCACATGTTCATGTCTCAGGACCAAAGGGAAAGGGGTGAGTTTTGGGTTGCTTTACTTGCTTGGTGCGGTTGTTTCCCCCGACGTCTTGTCCCCCGCGCCGGAGCAGTGCCACGGTTCCTTGGTTTCCTTGTTTTGGTAGGTTTCAGACGGGAGGAAGCCCATGACTGACGGCCCCTTTGGTGCTGAAGTTATGTGTATGGTGTTGGATAGAAATAGTGCCATATTGCTTACCAAAATATGTGTTTGTTCTATCTATTCTATATAATCAACTCATGTGGTTTAATACAACTCATCTTTCCTGTTCCACGGACAGCATCATCGGATGGCTTGTTGACACAATCCAATCGATCCCTGTTTTATTCATTAATTTTTATATTTTTCGCCTTGCGATTCTTCACACGGCCGGCTCTGCTCCCAGCTCGGGTACACGGCCGGGCTCTTTGAAGCTGTACATAGGATAGTCCCAGCTCGGGTGTCTCATGGCAGCCGGGCTCTTTGAAGCTGTACATAGGATAGTCAGCCAGAGCTCTCTGACAGCGCAAATAGAGGAACCAAAGTGAGCTTCATCTGGTGGTTGCTGCTCCTCTGCTCCTACCTGGATAAAAAGTGGTTGCTGCTCCTCACACAGCTGAGGGCCTACAAACCCTGTTCGTTTGGTTTATAAGTCGGCTGATGCTGTTTCGTTGTGAGAGAAAAACACTGTATCATGGCTGATAAGTATGGCTGATACGATCAAGCAAACAGGGTGCTAGATAAAGAGTATTGTGTTAGAAACATAAGAACTGACTAATATCGAACAAAATGGTTCATGATCTTTCCCATTGTGCAAAAAAAGGAGTACTTTTGGTCTAAACTCAGTTGGTAGCGGTATCGCTTGAGCAAATCGTATCCATAATCTACATCTTCATCTCCTTTGAGCCAAATTTCACAGAGGGCAGTCAACAGATAAGCTATTGCAATTCTCTGCAACCAAGAATACATGGCATCAGTTACATACTTACCAAACACCAATTTGATACATTGTCAATGGACAAATACACAGCTCATAACAAAACGATGCATTCCATATTCCAATGAGGTGAAGCTCTCTCAGACAGAGAAAGACAAAGAGCAGAGAGAGCACAGACGAGAGACAGAGGAATTGCAGAGAGGAGAGAGCAGAGACAAGAGACAGAGGAATGCAGAGAAGCTTCTCATGACTCATGACCGGATGAAGCTTCTCATGACTCATGACCGGACAGTCATGACCGCATAAATTCCCCTCCTCCCTGTTCACCTTCGACAGCTTTCGTCTCGCCTGAGAGAAGCAGAGACGAGAGACAGAGGAATTGCAGAGAGAAGAGAGAGCAGAGACGAGAGAGGGGAATTGCAGAGGAGTGCAGAGAAACTTCTCATGACTCATGACCGGACAGAGAAGCTTCTCATGACCGCATAAATTCCCCATGACCGGACAGAGAAGCTTCTCAGAGACAAGAGACAGAGGAATTGCAGAGAGGAGAGAGCAGAGACGAGAGACAGAGGAAATGCAGAGGAATGCAGAGAAGCTTACTCATGACCGGACAGAGAAGCTTCTCATGACCGCATAAATTCCCCATGACCGGACAGAGAAGCTTCTCATGACCGCATAAATTCCCCTCCTTCCGGCGACGTCGCCGAGCTGGCTGCTCCTTCTCCCAGCGGGCCCCCACCGCCGTCGATCCAGCCGCTCTGATCGGACTTCTGGGCTACGACGCGAGCTGGGCCGCGCTGTCGGCCGTCATCCTCACCGGCCTGCTCGTCGTCATCCGGATGGGCTTCGCAGCAGCAGATTCCCTGGTCTAGGGGAGAAGGGGGAGCAGCACATTCGCAGCACATTCGAGCAACTGAAGAAGATTAGGGGTATTTATATTAGTCTGAAGAAGATTAAGAAGATTGGAGGATTCGTGGTGTATGAAGAAGATTAAGAAGATTGGAGGATTCGTGGTGTAACTACGAGTGCAGTAGGATTCGTGGTGGTGTCTGAATGAACAATCCTTACTTTTATATAAGTAAAATTCCCAGTAATCAAATTCATTGATGAAATTATCCCCAAGTGATACATGTGTATTCCTTACTTTATATAAGTAAAACTAGAAAACCAAGCCGCGCCCTCCTTTGAGCACCTGGCCATATGACCCACAACTGAATGTTGTAAACAAATATGTAGTTAGTGTAAGTTTGATGAATTTGATAGTTCCATCATGCCCTCAATACACTGTAGATTGTTATTGCTCTAGAAAAGGGCAGTTTCAGTTGAACGACATGCGTGTATCAGCATTCAGCAAGCAGCGAAATACGAAGATTCAGTTTTGTCTTTTGTAGACACTTGGACTGAGAATAGGTAACGAATATATCAACAAAAGGGTCACTTTTGCCTGCGCGCATGCTGCTTATAGATGAACAGGTAGGGTACATTTCAGACAGGCAGCAGACCAGCAGTCGCAATGAAGTTCCTATGATCCATTTAGAAATAACAAGTAGTACTGTAATAGTCTTTGATCACCATTCATTATATGGCACATGAGAAGAAGTGCTTGTCCCGCTGGTGGACAGTCTACAAACTTTCGTTTCTCCATCTGTTTACATTATAATTTATACAACAAAAGGGTGTAACTCCTATCTAGATACTTCTAGATTGTAAAAGGGCTCTGACTTTGGTAGCAGTGTTTGAGCTCTTGCTCAATCTATAACCACAACATTAATAATATTTTTTTAGAGTTCAAGGTCCAACGCCCCCGTCTTTTAACATTCATTAAAAGACAGAAATATTCATTACAGCACAGTTCGTAATCTCCATCATACCTCGAAAACCAGATACCAGGACTCAAACATATTAGCTACAGACTTGACTGAAAAGAGCAACAGGCCTTAACAGCTATAGACTCAACAAAACCACCTACAAGAACAACCCCATGCATTACATCATCAACAGACTGGTTCTCACGCCAGCCTACAGGAGCTCCAGGCTTGAACATCACCAGAAGGAACCAGCACCGGCTTCATCTTCAGCAAACTCTGCAGCTGGTCCACCATTAGCGGCTTATCCAGAGAAACGTCCACACCCATTGCCGTCTTCAGTTGGGGGGAGGAAGCCACAACACCATAGCAGCTTTCTTCTTGATCTCCAGTACAATTCTTGATAAAGTCTGTTTCTTGTTTTCCGGGCACAAAATTAGACAATTTTGCACCGTATAAGCCAGTTTGGTCAGCAGGATATCCATCCCTTTCCAATCCTACATTCTGAAAGCAGATGTCATTTCTTAGCTTCCAAATATTCTAAAGAGCAGCAGCAGTAACTATATTCACCACACCGTGTTTTTATTACTAAGCCAAAACTGGCCAATGGATTCAAAAGAACCCCCCAGGTTCACTTCCAGAATATTAGAAAGAACACGCCAGAGCTGTGCAGCTACTGCACACTCAAAAAACATGTGTAACACAGATTCCACCTCACAGCCAAACAAGCAAGAGATATCATCCAGCTTTTTCCTTTTCCTCAAGTTATCTCTAGTGAGAATTTTGTTTTTAGATACCAACCAAAGAAAAAAATGGATTCTGGGAGGGACTTTAATATCCCATACAGCTGACACAAACACAGGTTGAATACCTCTGAAGTTAATAACTTTGTACAAGGATTGAGTAGAGTCTCAGATGCCATTTGAAGTAAACTGCAAAAATCAACAAAAGGATTGAGTACAACATTAATAATATCATCGAACTATTTTTTTCTTAAGAAAAGAGTAAGGACTTTGTCTTGTCTTGGTGCAAGATACTAATTGAAAAGACGGTTACTTCTTTTATGATCCATGAAATAGGAGAGCAACAAAGAATGTTCATAACTTTTATTTAAATATGTTTCCCCATACATAGGTTCTGATTGTAAAAATCTTATATTTACCTCAATGATCACCTTTGCTTGGTGAGTAGCATTGTTTCTTTGATTAGTCACGTTGGTAATCAGCAGAGTCAGTCTCATTGGTTTTCTGTTAACAATTTTTTATGAATGATAGCTATTACTTATTATAAAGAAGTCTGTTGTAAGAGCAGCAAAACCATAGAAAAAAGTAGTACTTAAAAGAACTTTGAAAAGATCATGTGTGTTTAATCTAAAAGTGAACTTAAATCCAATATTATAGACTGAAGATTTTTTTTTTGCTAGCATCCTAATGAGTATGATCTTTGATATCTTATCACTGAATATTTCCAGGAACTGTTTAAAATTTCACAACACACTTACAGGAAAATCTCTACTGAAAGGCTAAAGCCATGTGTGCCAAAATCATTTTATCATTTTATCCTAAACAATTTTTAGTGTATGACAGCAAAACCTAGGGGTCAATCAGGCATATTTGGCTTTCATGTTTGCATGTTTTGTGTGCACAGATCCAAGATAAAAGTACTGAAGCAGTTCAATCATGACTATGTGAAAACTAAAATTCTAAAGCAAGTAAAAAAATGTTTAGATCACAGTACAAGGCCTGTTACCTTTGTACCCCAATCTCACACAGGGTTTGTTCATAGAACATCAAAATTGGAGAACTCAAACAATGATGATGTAAGCAATCATAAGAATCTGGTGCCGTCGCCTTGTTTTCCGTGGGGCCTGTAGCGAAAAACTGTAAAGGTTGGCTTAAAACTAAGCGAAATACAGACAATGATGTAAACAATATGTATCATAGTGAAATGATCATAATCTGTAAGTTTAGGTGTAACATGTTGGGATCAGGATTGTTTTAGGGGCTTGAATATAGCATTGAAAAATCCACACATTTTGTGCAAGCAAGCATCCACAGCAGCTTATACTTAATCAGAAACAAAAAAATATCATTGTAGCTTTGTAAGGCAATCTGGTGTTGCAACCTCTGTGTAGGAGCAGAAAAAATATAGAATCGCAAAATCAACCCAGCGGACTAATTGCGGAACTCATAGGTAACCACAGTCATTCAATTGCAAAGCTGACCTATTCCAGAGTTCAGACAAAAATTCAGAGTTCAAGCTATATTGCATAAGATACATCAAGAAAAAGAATAATGAGTTCAGATTTAGATAGTGGAAAATGAACTGGTCCACCAAAAATCTGCGCATGACAACAAAAATGGTCTCATAAACAATTTAAAAACATATTAGGTTTACTGATGAAAACAACAATGATATCATAACAAATAAGCATGTAATGAATGACCATGAAAGCAGCTTCCATTTCCGAAGTGACAATAGCTCATACAAAAAGCAGGAGATGCAGTACTTGTGTTGACAGTTTCTTTATCTACAGCGTTATGGGATCAGAATCACACTCCAAGCATATGTTCCACCACTAAACTGGAGGTGCCTGAGTATACAACGGAAGAGGAACAATCTATAAGGATTAAGGAACTCGTTTTCTGAGCATCAGATGATCGAAGAGCAGGAAGTATAATGAAAATGAAGGACCAGAATATTTCCATGCATATCCAGGGAATATATGCATGCCTCCAATGCTCACCTCTGACCTCCCTCCGTCCTCCGCAACGCCCTTCCGCTGATTCCAATACAGCAGAAACAAAATGCATTAATCACCAAAACGGAACCAAAGCAATGTCTGTAAATCGCATTAAAAAAAACACGCGAAGTCTCTTTGATTGATGACTGAAACTTGATTAAGAGGAATTGATATATTCGAACGAGAAACTCATATCAATCACCTTTGAAAGCACCATGCAGTAAGGAATCCTTACGAAAGATCCGACGGCCCAGCGGCCGACGCTGAGGCGAGGGCTTAAAGATGAGACGCCGTGATCGAGCGAGTCAGCCACGCAGGCGGAAACTTCAACCGCGAAGGCGGAGACCTCCTTCGGGTTGGAGGAGCCTTGGAGCGTAATGCCCGGGACGCACGTGAGACGGGACACTGCCAGGTGGTGCGAGGTGTCAATCCAGCGCCGCTCCGCTCATGTCTCTTGCGACGCACGGAACTGTCACCTGGGCGGACGCGCACGCACCCCCGTCTCTGACCGTCCGGCCATGCGCCGCTTGACTACCTCGGGACCGACGTGTCAGCAGCGAACGTTCTCCACGTTACTCTCATCTCATGCACGCCGACGATTAGAGAGACAAAGCCGCAAAGCCAAAGGGACCGCAAGCGGCAAAGCCGTTGGCTGCATCTAACTGCCGCGCCGGCGGGGGCCAACGACCTTTGCTTGCTTCTCCTTCCCGCATGTTCTCATCCCCTCTCCTCTCCACTCGTCGTCCACCCCGCGTCCCTCGAGCTCTTCACCTTCAGCTCCGGATCTGGAAGGCCGAGGAGCAGTCGCATGGTAGAAGAGAAACAGAGCTTTCGAGTCTCCGCCACAGCTTCTTGGTGAGTGCGAGAATTCGGGACGGAGGAGCCGCATCGCTATAATATAACCGGGAAAGCCTCGAGGAGAATTCAGACATGGATGGGTTGCCTAGAGAGCTGTGCCTCAAGATCTTCCACCTCCTGGATCACCAGTCCCTCGCTTCTGCTCCCCAAGGTTTGACGACGCCTCAAAATTATCGCATCCCAATGTGGAATTGGAAGCACGAGTATTGAAATTGCTCTGTCTTTTTTCCCCCCGAAAAATGCAATTTCAGTTTCTCTGTAATTCTGAACTTCCCGTTGTCGGGATTCTTAATGTCCAATTTAGTACGGCCCCATATATTTGGTTTCCGTTGACAATTCAGATTTTGATTGTGTATCTCTGTAGACCTCTTCCAAGTCTTAGATTGTCAAATCGGATCGGTTGTATACCCTGTGTTCTGTACAAGCTGAAGCCTGAAAACGTTCCAGGCGTTGCATCGAGTGATAGCTTCATAGCTGATACTACCAGCAGATAGCATGTACTCCGTAGTACAACGGTAGTGATATCTTGTTCTGGTGAGTTACGATGCTGCTCCTGGCTCAGTTTGCAGGAAATGGAGTGCGTTGACCTCCGACGATGAACTGTGGCGCAAGCTGTTCAACGACAGGTGGGGAGCGGACGCCGCAGCGTTCTACGCGCCGGAGGGCTCCAAGTCTTGGAAGGACGTTTTCGTCGTGCAGGACCGGTGCGACCGATACGGACTGTAAGCGACTCACCTCACCTATCTGTTCCACTGCTTCCGATGTTGCCAATTGGCAATCGCCATGTCGAGCAACAGTTGAGCCGTCTCCTTTATTTGGCCTGTGAGTGTGACCGAGCCGCGTTCTTTATCAGGGGTGTTAGGATCATCAGGGAAGGGAAGGACTACTACCTGATCTACCAGGGCGAGATCCAGAGGTACTTGGGCTCCCGCCAGGACACGGACGGCGACTGCGGCAAGAACGCGCCGCAGCAGGACGCTGGGGACGAGCACCGGCAGATATCCAACCGGATCCTGTTCTTCCTTGGGGATCTGGAGAAAGCCTGTGCGGACGCCAAACGTGTCAAGGCCTGAACCTGAACATGTGCTAACCTGTGCCCCTGACCATCAGCACATTGTTCAACGCTTGTATGACTGTTGTTAATTTGCATAGCTCGTGCATAGTGTTGCTATACTACATGTTAGTATCTCACCTTCAATTCATGTAAGTTGAGCATCATGTTTACGTCAACCTGAAATTATAATTCGAGTCACAACCTTTGTTTGCATTCATTTTTGTCTGTCAATGCGCACACAAAGACTCTACCGGGCCACAAATGAATACTGCAAAAAATAAAAAACATGCTTGAGATATGGATGAGTTGCCAGGGGAGTAATAAGTTCCATCATTTTTTTCTGATAAATTGTCACATTCTAAGCATTACCAGATTCCACGAAACAAAGATCAATCGAGCTCGTCTGTAAGATGAGGATAACAGAAGATCAATGTAAGAATCAATGTCAGCTACAACTACGCGTCAATCACATGGGCCAAGGCGCAATTGCATCCTGTGTTGCTGATGTGTTTACTGAGACAATGGTAACATGGGTAGACTATTACTGGTAAGATGCTTTGGTTGAATCAGCATTTCAGAGCAGCTCTTGCCATTTCCAATGCTCCCTCATAGGTCTTGTTGCCCCCAATGAAGCCACTCATATGGACAAACACACAACCAGGAATGCCGGTTTCTGCAGAAAGTCCGTCGTCTCTCATGCCCCTCCACTTCTCTGGCAGAGCCTTTCGGCTCTCAAACCTGTCAGGAGCAACTCCGACTGCTTGGACTCGCCAACTCTTGCTCCTCTCATCCTGCAATTAAGCAGTGAAAATCAAATACATGTAGCAATGATATTGGGTTTTGAGAAGAAAAGGTAAATAACAAGGCTAAAAAAATCTACGGAAGCAATTTAAAATTTTATCAGTTCGGACATAACAAAGGAGATGTTACCTTGCTTATGAGATTGAATATGGAGCTATTAGATCAGAGAATACAAAATGTTGGGGAATTCAGCAACAAGTAAAAAAAAATGTACACTTAAATAAGAGTAGTCAGCTACCAATAGAAACGAGTATACACTTGAACGGTCAGGAACCAGTAAAAAAGTAAGTATACAAAAGCCTGCTTTCCTTTAGTGGCCGAGAAACAAATCATTTCAGGGTTACAGCATAGACTGCTACAAATTGCATCATGTTTGTCTTTCAATAGCATGAGAACTAAGAAGCATCATGAAATTCATGCTGAATTGTAGTCTGAGGGAAGACTCTTACCTGATACAGCACATACTTGGTCAAAGGATCAGTCTTCAGCTCCTCTTCAAGCTCAAATAGATGAAGTTTCCACTGTTGTTGTAGGATAAATGGTCAGCTTATATGTTCGATATGGCAGTCAATCAAAGCACTTTGATAAGCAAGTTCAAAGATATAATGACTAAATTAAATAGCTTGTTACAATCACCAAACATAGGTCAGCCCAAGTTTGAAGATGGTACCTAAAGCACAAACCATGTATTTTCCCTTTTAGGGGGTGCAACGATTTTCAAATGTCTATTTTTACAACACAAGAGCACATGATCTCAGGTCGACATCACAAAATATCATGCACATGAAAGATGGTAAAATAAAACAACCAGACAAGCATAACATTCATGGCTTCCTTTAAATTTAGAAACCAAGCCGAAAAATTGAGTTGTGGATATTGGTGAGATTCATTTTGATATAACACAAAAAGGTCAAGACTTTACCGGGCAGAATCTATCCAAAACCATGATTTCTCCACTTGGGTCAATATTTCCTCTTGATAACAAACACTCCAGGACAATAGACCTTGCCGGTAACCATGATTTAACATGGAAGCGAACACTCTGGCAATGAAGATGGATAATATTGTCATAACAAAAGAGGAGCGATAGCAAACACACAATCAACCAAGACAGATACTACTGTCATATAAAAAAAGGAGTGATAGCAAACATACCACATAATCTACTAAGCCACTCAGATGGACATAACCAGACAGATAATATTATCATAAAGAAGTGGAGCGAGAGAAAACACATAATCTACTAATTCCTATGCAGTGAATGAACCAACACAATATGGCACTAAGGCATGAGTCAAAAATCTCAAATACCTCCATAAATTCACTTCCAGCTAGTATCATTGCCTGTTCAAATGCTGCATTCTCCTTCTCAGGTGACTGGTCTGGATCAGTCCAGTCTGGATTAAGGCGTCCAACGCGTGAAGACAAGTGTGTACTGTTCACATACTTTGGTGGTTGATCTGTGTCATATTGATTGATTCCGTTGTCAATCGCATCAAGTGCCTGTAACATGACCAAAGGTATTGGGTACTTTAGCACATCGAACAAAAATTAAAAGAACTCATAAACATGGAAGAGAAAAACAGTACTAGATGTGTCTCAAACAAGATTGATGTCAAAAGATGGTCTGAGGGATTGAAGCTAGTTAAAGTGGTAATCGAAGAAGGCAACTAATGAATTGTATAATTGGTTCATTAACACTTCCTTTTGGACTGAAGAAGTCGATAAATCTCGTCACCTGAATAAGCTAAAAAAGTTTATTCTAAGTGGGACTTCAATAGACATATGTGCATAAACAGATGATGCGTGTTTTACATTGAATCCATCAAAAATTAATTACTAAGCCCACAATTTCCCAACAATGAGAAAGAATATCTGCTGGTATTTCTTCCATTCATAAGATCCAACCAAAAGAATGAATGCAGAAGGTGGGAGAAAACATAATCTAAAGCCTCAATAAGCAAATGGATGCTACCATAAAATTTCCCAGTAGCCAATGTCAGATAAAAGCTTGGGGTTGATGACAGTCACCAATTTTTTATTAAACAAATTAAAAAGACAGAACAAGGATTAGCGTAGACGTTTACTCATGATACACCCAAAAAAACTACACTGTCAAGTAATCAGATTCACACCTCAACAAAGCTTTTATATATCGAGAGATACAAACGGTGAACATCTTCATGATCTTCATTAACCCCAAGCTCCTTTGCAATTATCTCCTTACCAAAATGCTGCAAAATTAGAGCAAGTTTCAACTATAAGCATTCCATTTCTGTCAGAAATGAAGATAAAACAACTACAAGAATACTAATAACAATCTCCAATGTGCAACTTGTAAGCCTCAATAACTTAGAACATCAAGGCAATGCTGTGCATACAAAATAAAAGCTGTGCGTCCCGTCAAGGATCCACCAGGTGGTGTGGTGCAGTTGAAAACCCAACAGCAGATGTTACTTAACTTCATAACAAAATCTTACTTCTCGGGGGATTATATGTAAGTGTTATTGCTGAGGGCAATGGAACTTTGTAGAAAGAAATTCAAAATTAGCATTGTCCATGGGAAGTACCTTGTAGACAAGTCCAGCACTGCTAAGTTTTGTGTTGAATCCATGTCCAAAAACCTCACTGAAGCCCTTCTGGTGATGATCATAGCGATGCCGACTGGGATCATAGACACCCCCAACATCAAGAACAGCATCCAATGTATCAAGGATCTATATCGAAGTTCAAGAAATGGAGGCAAACACATGAGTGCAGTTGCAGGATGCAGCCCTATTATTGCACTTATATACCAACAATAGACTTTAGGTAATGAACAATTGGATTATTTACCATGTGTGCGAAGGCAATTCAACAGTGTATTAAACCAATCGACCCATTTAGCAAAATAGACAGGTTGAATTTATGTCCCAGGTGACAGGACGAAGTACACACATTCACTAAATTTCTAAGGTTTCAATTCAGACCTTGTAATATAGCGGTATGAAATCTAAGGGGCTGTTTGGTTCAAGGAATGGATTTTGTGGAATCAATACATAACTCATGCCTCGACTAATTATTAGCTTATGAGGACAAATTATTAGCTTGTGAGGACGAAGTGGTGATAGATCAACCCATCCATTCCTCAAACCGCACAAAAAAGTGACAAGTGAGAAGATCCCCATTCCTCAAACCAAACAACACCTAAGCAAGTGCATGGGTACAGCTGATGTGTTAGGGAGAGGAAAAAACATCCTTATCGATTATTCTGACGGTATTTTTGCACATGAGCTTACGAAATTTGGAGATATCAACACCATTCAGCAACATAAATTCGCATCTAGGGACGTGTGGATAGTCCACTCAACATGTAAAGTCTATGAACGCTCGCATACAGACCTCAGAACCAGCCAACACTCACCGTCACCGCCCCAAAGTCATTCGAGGAGTTATTTTTTTTAAAAAAAACATGAAACTGGGGGGGAGCACGCAGGAATGCTAGGATAATCGAGCCGGTAGCCGCGAGAAAGTGACCTGGGAGTCGCGGGTGCGGACGACGTCGGCGCCGGCGAACTGGGAGGTGAGGCGGATGAGGAAGCAGCCAAGCGCCTCATCGCAGTGGAAGCTGCCGTTGTGGGTCCCCACGCGCTTGCCGCTCCCCGCGCCGTCGCCGTCGGCGGCGGCGGACGAGTAGACCCTCAGCCTCTTCGGCGAGGCGGCTGCCGGCGAGAGAGACGCCATGGTGGAGAAAGGGTTTCGGATTTGGGATCGCGCGATGCCTAGGAGAGGAGACGTGACGGCTCGCTGCGACAGCCTACAGGCGGCGGCGAGCATACTAGTCTTCCCCACTAGACTTCCCCGCGATGGGATGTGGTAGGGTTTTGTAGGGGCTTTTCGCTATGTGCTATTTTGATATGCTCCCGTTTATTTATTTTTTATTCTTATTACAGTATTACTAATGCAAATGTCTCACTGTTTGCAATAGAGCTGCAGCGCATGGAAATATTGTATATTTCGAAACAAATAAAAAAGATGATATTTTATCACTGAGTTAGGCATTTCTTCTGCTCAATTTGACAAAGAAATTAGCTAAAAAAGCAAAGGTGTACTGTTTAATTCTTAGAAGAAAGTGTTCAGTTGATTTTGCATGTCGCCATTTCTGCATTGCTAATGTGTTCCCATGTCATTTATTTACAAGAAAAAACAAAATCAGGTTGTCTAAAGCTTATGCAAAAAGAAATTCGTGAAAGCCAGCATTACCCGGCCCAAAAAAGTGTCTGAGCATAACAACCCAACATGAGATTCAAATAAGGCCTATATTCTCATCAATTTCGTGCCTTGTTGTAAATGGGCTTAAGATATGAGGTCCACCCAACCCATTTACATTCCCCTCAAAAAAAAACAACCCATTTACATGAAGGTGCATGATCTGTTCGGCCTTGACATGAAGCTGAGGTCCACCCAGCCCATTATCATGAAGGTGCATGATCTGTTCGTCCTTGACATGAAGCTGAAATTAGGTGGGAAAAATCTATCCCACCTTTTTGGACTGTCATCGTATTATGATTTTTCTCCTTGAACTCTAAAACACATCTTACTGTCAAGACCATTTAAATTACTTCTCCCCGCCTTCTGACGATTTGGAGTGGACCGGAGCCTTGAAGGCACATGGGAACGGTTTGTCTTTTTATTGAAGAAATTTAATAAATACTTGACAAGATCTTTAAAACACAAAAAAGCTATCTCACTCTAAAAATCTTCTTTCAACCAAAATCTTAGAAAAGTTTGTCTTTTATTGAAGAAATCTAAATATTTTTAAGATCTCATGAAAAAAATCTCTAGAATGCTTCAAAAAAATATTTAACTCTAGAAAAATGAAAAAAATAATATATATATATATATATATATATATATATTTATATATATATATATATATATATATATATAACATTCTAATTGACATTTAAACGTGTTTTAAAAACTTTAGCAATAAAAAACATAATACGCAACCACCACTGATGCATATTCGCAAAAAAAACTATGCATTCAATATTAATGTATGTGTATTTCATATTTTTGTCGAGCAAAGTTTTAAAACATGTTTATACATATACATCAATTAAATATTTGAGAGTTTTCTAGAAACTTTCCTGTTTTCCTAGAGCTTAATTTTTGAAGTTTCTAAATACGTTTTTATGAGATTTAGATGTTTTTATTTGGATTTATCGTAACCCATTCTATCTCTAGATTTTTTCTGAATTTTTAAATCTTAGAGACATTTTTTGTGCTTTAAATTCTTATGAAGTACTTACCCAAATTTTTAACTAAAAAAGAACAAAACTGCCTTCAAACCTACTCCAAAGAAAGATAATTTGAGGGGTTTTGAGAATCCAAATCAAACGGGAAGATGTTTGGTTTTAGATTTTGAGAAGACAAAATTAGAGTACGACAATAGTTTAAGGAACACTTTTTCCGAATTAAGATCACTCGGGTCCAACCGTCCAAGATCCAAACAATGTATGAGACTCATTCATGCAACACTCGTAACTTTTTCGCGATCGTGTGACTCCTAATTACTTTGATGACCAATGTATCAGGCTAACTGCTGAGATACGCACAAACTGACTTGATGGATCAAAACTTTCTGATTTCTGATTCGGATTCAACTATCCACGATTCGTTATTCCACCAGTGACTTCGATTTTTGTCATATACCGCTTCCCTTTTTCTCCCCTGCCCGGCTGATACTCCGATACTGCGCGTGTGCTACAGTCGAGATCATGCGTGTTCGGCACAACACGTCCCGTCCCGTTCCCATCCCCGCCGGGTGCGTCACGGAGGCTTGTCCATTTGCTCCGACCTGTACCGCCCCAGCCCCCCAGGCAACAAAGGCAAACGATATTGACGGCGACGGACTGACGGGTGACCACTGATTCCGCCTGCTAGCCACTGTTTCTGCCACTGCCGCTGCCCACTGCGATCGGCTGGTACAGTTCTTTCAGTTTATTCTCTCGTACCGTTTCAGCTTGGTTTAGCTTATTCCCTCTCAGGATACTGTTTAATCGTTCAAAAGAATAAAAAACACTGTACACCGAGCCATCAAAAGAATCCAAAAAAACACTGTGCCACCTTTTCTTTAGTGGAGCAGCTGGAGCCAGTGCACCCGCACGGCGGCACCGACCGGCGCCCGGCCGCTCGGGGTCTCGTCGTGTGTGACCAATCGGGCTCAAGCATGGCTCGATCTCGGCAGGTCGCATGTCTCCTTTTTCTCCGATTAATCATGCACCCTAGCGTGCTACGCCAAGGGCCTGCGTACGCTCGCCAGCATGCATGTCGGCAACTCGGCGTGCACGGGCGGGCGCCTGTGATGCGTTTGGTGGTCCCTCCCGGTTAATGAACTGTCCGCTGACGCGACACCATCAGCTGATGATGCGACGCAAGAATCAAACACCCTGTTCACTTCGTCGTTTACGTGCCTTATAAGCCGACCGATGCTGTTTTGTTGTGAGAGAAAAATAATGTATCATAGCTGATAAGCATGGTTGATACGATCAAACGAACAAGGTGCAAGAATGTAACAGCAGGCCCTGCTCTGTTTTCCTCGGGCGCGAAGACATTACATGTGGTTGGTTAGCTGGTTAACTTGAGATCGAAGCCTGGGCAGTCTTAGCTTGCTCCCACCAAGTTAATTCCTGGCTGTTTGGTTGTCTGTGCTTTATAGGCCTGGCTAACCTCAAAGTGTGTTTGGTTATCTGGTTTGTTTTGATACAATCACCTCTTTTATGAATTGGGAAGGTTATCCCTTCAAGGTATTTCGTCAAACAAGTCGCATTCCTTGTTTTGCAATTCAGTTCACTCAGTAATTCTACACCATGTTTTCACTCACAAAATTAAAACCTTTCTCCTGTGACCTCCGAGAACGGCATAATGAACTGCATAATGTCAAGAGATCGATGCAATGCTGTACAAACTGAAAGACATTATGCATAATGTCCCCAGGCCGAGGAGCGGGGCGCGGCCAAGGAGGCTGCTGCCATGATCCGTCCTCCTTTGCGTGCGGTGTTGCCGCCCGATAGGTGAGGGGCGGGGCGGTGTGGAGAACCAGCACTGGGCTGGCTCAGGCCTGGCTCTAGAAAAATGCCTGACTCCTGTGTTTTTTTAAGCCAGACCAAGACCCCCGAGTGGCTTGCTAGAGTCTGGCTAGGAGGTATATTCAGCCAACTAAACGGACTGAAATTGGCTCCAGCAAATCTGGTTATGGGATAGCCAATGAACCAAACACATCCATTGGTTCATCCGTGATGCCCCATTTGTTAATAGCAATCGGTTAATTCATTAGTGATCAGATTGGTCCACGTAGTCTGTTTGCACGAGCCGAATGGATTGAAAATTGAAGGATGATGGTGTCTGAACGGTTAAGTCAAAACTGTAGTGCACGTCCAAAATATAAATAAGCACTAGCATCACACTGGTCAGTATTCCTGTGAGCATCCCAGTGTGACGTGTGTCCAGCTAGCCACCACCTGCCCCCGCTCTGTCCGGTTGCATCAAATGACCACACGACACCGGCGCGGTGACGTAGCTCCAAACTTTCTTACACGCGATAATAATAAGAGACTTTTTCCTGTGTGCCATTCTAAAATATTACAATTTTCTGTGTGTTTTTGGAAAAATTTAGCAGTCTTCAGCGCCACTACTCCAACTTTTTCGGGTCCTCCATGCCACTTCCGTCAGTTCAGGCTCTAACGCCGTCAAACTGCAGGTGTGAAAAGACGAAAATACCCTTAAGTTCAAATATGTTATTAATTTTTTTAAGCATCTTAACGACTTCAAATGAAAAAACTCAAAACTAAAAAGTTGTAGATCTCGTCGAGATTTATAATTTTCATATAAAAATTATTTTCATTTAATTTCGCATTATTAATTATATTTTTTTGCGAAATTAAATGAAAATAAATTTTATATGAAAATTATAGATCTCGACGAGATCTACAACTTTCTAGTTTTGAGTTTTTTCATTTGAAGTCGTTAAGATGCTCAAAAAAAATTAATAACATATTTGAACTGAAGGGCATTTTCGTCTTTTCACACCTGCAGTTTGACGGCGTTAGAGCATGAACTGACGGAAGTGGCATGGAGAACCCGAAAAAGTTAGAGTAATGGCGCTGAAGACCGCTGAATTTTTTCAGAGGCACACAAGAAATTACGATCTTTTATAATAGCACATAGGGAAAAGTCTAATAGTAACCATACGTACAGATAGAGACGGATCAACATTTCTTAAAGCAATGTACATACAGCGTCTCCACATCACGCAATGTTGCACTAGTCATCTTTATTGATTGATTATTTCCTTGTTGTAGATAGACTAACTAATAATGCTATGCATACGTACGTGCAGTATACATGGACCAGACCACCAAGCAATGCAACATTGCAACCAAGAACCAACACGCCAGCGGATGATCCCCAAGGGGTTTTCAACAACAGAAAAAACACAAACCCGTGTACACGAAACTGACGACCTCCGGTGGCGTGTCTCCGTCTCGTAATAAGGTAGCTACTAGAGAAAAGAAAACTGCCATGCCCGTGCGCAGGCACACAGACTCGATCTCCTTGAGATCCTTGAGCTGAGAACTTTGGTTACAGGGCCTGGATGGACCCGGCCCGGACCTTGCCGCGCTCCTGTGGTGGGCCTTCCGCTTCCTTGGCGGGCAGGGCCCCATGTGTCACCGCCTTGGCCCTGGCCTTCCTCCTCTCCGCCGCTTCGTCCGCCGCAATCTGCGCGCTCCTGCACTCGTCGCTGCAGAACGCCGTGTCGCCTCTGTTCGCCGGCATGCATGCATGGCTGGTGAGGGCGCCGTTTCGAAAACAACAGGGGAATGAAGGGAGGGAGAAATAGCGGTGCCGGTACCTGTACATGAAGATGTCGCGGTTGCTGGCGAGCGGCTTCCGGCAGAGGAAGCACGCGTCCAAGAAATGCACGCTGTGCCCCGCTCCTCCCATGGATGGATGGATCGATCTCTGTTGCCCCGAGCACCGCCTCCGGCTAGCGAGCAATCCGGATCCGGCTCCACGCGCGCGGCCGCGCCCGCACCGCCGCACGACACCCGGCGAGACGATTGGGGGCTCTCTTCCTCCTCGCCTGAGCAGGCTGCAGCTGCAAAATCGTCCCGTGCTGTTCCCCCGCCCCCTGCGATTCTGCTGCCACCGGCGCTTGCTTCCTCGCGCGTCCGCGTCAACAAATGCGTGATGATGCTTGGTGGGGAGGCAAGGCAAGGAAGGGGGGAAGCTGCTGCCGTTTAATAATGCCGGAGGCAGCAGCAGCCAGGACGAAGGAACCGCGTGGAGGCCGTTCTGGGCCCACCCGTCAGCATGCGTGGAGGTGCTGGAGGCCGGCGCGCTGGTCACGGCCGGGGACCGGGGTGGCGAATCCGCGGGTCCCACGCTCACGATTCGTCCAATTGCTGCGCTCCAGCTTTCTCGGCAGAACTGTCTCGGTGTCGCGCGGGCCCCTTGCAGTAGTTGGCCCACTTGCCAGCGAGATCTGGACGGGTCCTCGGCTGTTGGGGAGGTGACCGAATTTTTTGCTTTTTGACCCTTTTTTAAAAATATTTTCATAAATACGCCCCTAGCTGTATCCTTTAAAAAAATAGACCCTGAGCTCGGCGCCGTAGCAATTGGTGCTGAGCTTACATGTCTCGGCGCCATAGTTATTGGCGCCGAGGGCCAATGTTATTTTCTGCATGGCGTTGACGTGGCTGCTTGGCGTGAACATGATGCCGGCTTGACGCCGTGGATCTTGGCGCCGAGCTCGGCGCCACTTCGACTGGCGCCAACTGATTTGCTGGTGCAGCCGTCTGGCACTTGAGAGAGAGGGCAGAGGAGTCCTAGCACGAGCATCGAAAAAACAAGCATGCATTCATCCGCTGCAAGCGTGTGGAAATTTCCTCTCGTGCACGTGTATCAAGGATAGCTTTTTCATCCTTCATGTTGTGCATAGTGGTCTGTAGTATGCATGTCATGCTTCAACCTTTCTACTGCTTACTTTAATCTTTCTACTACTCCATAGTTTCTACCGACAGCAATGCACATGCATAATTTAGAGCAGTGTTATATTAAAGTTTGTTAAGTTAAATCAAATTTATATAAAAAATATAAGAAAGCAAAACTCGAAAAAAGGGATTTGAGTAGGTTTAAAGAAAAATATTAATAATATTTATATCTCCAAATAAGTTTCTCATAAAAGTAGGTTCGATGATCTATCAAATGGTTTAACTTAAATACTCACTCCATCTTAGAAAGAATGCAATTCTAACACAGTGTCATGTTTTAGTATTTTATTATAAAAATTGCACGTACGTTGCAATGGAACACACCGTTTATTGAATAGTCACTTACACGACTTTTGGCTTGAAATTTATATATTTAACTAAAGTGACATGTGTTTCAATTCGTCTTTAAATCTTGCTCTAACTCATACAAACATGAAAAGATTGGAAATTTATCCAACGATGTGTCGTATTTTAATTCATGCTGCGGTTGACCTCCGCGGGCCATGCTCATATAACTTCAGATCAATTACTTTTTTTATTAAAATCTGAGACACCAGAGTCCCCTCATTTGAAGGGAGAAAAAAGAATAGAAGACAATGTTAGACGTAGACTACTCGGCCGTAGAAATAAAACAAGAAAGCATGTATCCCTCGTGTCTGTATTTTTTTTTAATTTTAACATAGACGGTTAAAAACATAGGTTATACAATGGACTATCTGCAAGCTGTTTGATGTTATGTATTTAGCCAAAATCAACCATGAATATCATTTTATATAGTATTTTCTTTCCATCTGATAGAAAACGGTTCAAGCATAAACAAGATGAACATCGTTACAGTATTTTTTAAACCCATAAATATAAATCATATACATTATATGTAACCACAATATTTTTTAAAACATTTGGTAAAACAGATTTTTAATCCTAGTTAAAAAGAATGAAAGGTCAAAAAAGAATGAAAGATTTTTTCCCAACGGCTCCATCTCCGCAACCGACAGCAGCGGACGCAGTTGCACGCGACCCCCGATGGCTCCTTCTCTGTAACTGGAAGCCGTGCCCACGCCCGTCTTCCCAGCTAGTCGGAGCAAGTTGTCCCAGCAACTTTTCGCGCGCGGCCGTCCAACGGTAGCTCAAGCTTGATTTTTCTACATGCTGCACCATATCCACGTCTCGGTGGTCGCCGTCGTTCGCTAGTGCGGGTAGCACTCCTTGATTTATGTCTTGGTACGTTCTATTCGATTCGGTCTAGTTGTCCATGGTGTATTGGAATAAATATCATTAGATTTATTATAAAATATATTTTCATAATAAACTAATTCTAAGTCATAAATTTAAATATAATCCACTAGAAACTTAGTTAAATATGAACTATTTAATTTAACAGATACATTGGTCGTATATTCATTAGAAACTTTAATCAAGCTGCTCAACTCTGCTCATGCTCACGGCCGGGGCAGGGTAGGTGCTGCCATGTCTGCGCGGTCCACCGTGCACAACGCTAAGCTCTCATCGATATGTGTGCACTAGAGGCTCGTGCAAGCAAAGGACTCCTATCCTCTTTCACTCTCCACCATGCAGCTGGACTAGTTAGGCAGCCGTGCTCTCTCTCTCTTCTAGCTTTGAACAGATAGGCCCACATGTATGTCTATCATCCTGCCATATCATGCATGCAGTTGCCAAGGGTTGCGCCTGCATGTCAGGTTGGCGCCAGGCGAAGTGGCGATTAGCTCAGCGCCAACACCCACAGCGCCGAGCCAGTGCCACGTCCACGCCACACAGAAAATAACCCTAGACCTCAACGCCAATGACTATGGCGTTGAGACGTGTAACCTCGGCGCCAATTGCTACGGCGCCGAGCTCGAGGGTCTAGAAAATGAAAAGAAACCTTTAAGGATCTAAATGTCAATATCTTAAAAAAAAAGAGCTAAAAATAAAAAGTTTGAGGAGGCGACAACGACTGACGGACTCGCGAGGAATCTTCTCGTCAAGTAGCCATACCATATGCCTCGTGTGGTCGTGTCCATCCGTGGGATCACAGCAGCCGTGCAATGCACGCATACAAAATGAATTCCGCTTCGTTCGTTTGGCTTATAAGTCATACTTTTTTAACCAACGAATAATATTTTTCTCTCACAATAAATCAACCAACGATACTTTCAACCATGGCAAACAGGACAGTCTTGGATTCTCTTTGGCATGCAAATCTACAGCCCTGCCTCGAAGAGCTCGGTCGCGCAGCTGGTACAGGAATGCATTCGCATAGTTTCAGCTTGGAGTTGGAGGCCGTGCCGCCTTTTAAATTTTCCACATGCGCCTGCCGTATCAATGGGGGATTTGGGGATTCATTCATCAACTCGCTCGAGAATTTTTCGGGAGGACATCTGGCGGCACCACACTTGAGCGGGAAGAGAGTCACAGATTCGTCGGCGTTCGGTGCGACATGGACCGCAAGAGACTTTACGATCAAGCGAAAGGTGGGAAGCATTTGCCTGAGTAGTGGAGCTACTCGCACCGAAGCATCAACCGGCCTGCACACGGAAAGCGCTGCACCGGGCCACTGAATGCTTTGCACGGTGCCCTGAATTCCCGAAACCCTGAGAAGACCTTGACCCACGAGTCCCCCGATCAGGACCCGCCATCCACGGCATGGGGCGTCACTTCTCTGGCACTTCTCCAAGGAGGCAAGGATCTTTCTGTGGCAGTGCTTTTGCATGCATGGTTGATGGGTTGGACTCGTTGACTTGTACGAGCGGCAGTGTTCGTTTCGGCGGCTCATTGGACGATATATATGCATCGACTGCCATGACTGTTACCGCCTAAACTAGCTGCCAAATTAGCATCAGTCAGTCACCCTACTTCAGCTCAAAGGAACACATCAAAAGGCGGTGAACTGGTGGTTGGTTAGGCTGATGAAAGACTGCAGCTGGCAGGTGTAAATCAAACAGAAATGTGACGACTGACGAGCTCGAAGACCGCTTCAAACTGTGTTCTCCTGGATTCCTCAACCCCCGGGTCACGGTTTGGTTCCACATCCAGAGAGACGGAATCGCAAGGCTGGATTCCTCTCGGGACCCGGCATTTTCTTCGCGCTTCGTTGTCACTTGCTCCGATCAATTCAGTCCTGGCATGCCCAGCAGGCAGTAGTCCAGCAAGTACTCTTTCGGTCTCAAAATATAAGATGTTCACGTATTTCAAAATTTAAAATTCAAATGTTACTCCTCCGTTTTAAATTATAAGACGTTTTGACGTTTCTAAATATATAGTTTTTGCTATGCACTTAGATATACATTATGTCTAGATACATAGTAAAGATAATGTATCTAGAAAAAAGGTAAAACGTCTTATAATTTGGAACGGAGGTAGTATTATCTTTAACCAATATTAGTCCAAGTAATATAAAACCTTTATAGTATGATAGTGGTAATAGCATTGAATTTGTGTTTAGAAATACTTTCTCACGATACTTTTGTTATTGTCATAAATTATATGGACTCTACTACCGGGCGCACAAGCACGCAGAGTACACTCCGCTTGCACGTTTTCTCTCCTCTTTCTCACGCGTTATCTTCTATTCTTATTCTTCACGCTTCCTCGTGGTTGGCCCACCCTGCCCGATACGTTGCGTCGCCACCCCGGCCATGGGCACCCCTAACCTGAGCTTGTCCTCGGCGTGAGCGCTGCCGCCTCCACCTCCTCCTGGGCTCTGGCAACGCACCACCGCCTCTGCCACCGCCGCTATGCTAATCCCAAGCTTCTCCTGCCCGGCAGGCGGTGCCCCTGCCCTCTTCTAGCGTTTCCATTTTTTTATTGATTTTCTTCTTGTAAACTAGATCATCTCTCTCTTTTTTTTAATAATGCAACGGCAGATCTTTTGTCATTTGCAATTCTTAAAAAAATTACAAAAGGCACGGACTTGATAGAGAAAAGAGCTCGTTCAGTGGCTCCAATGGCCCCAATTTTTAATCAGGATTGAGGAGTCAAACACAAAACGAGCAAGGCTTTAGGCTTGGATTGCTCATGTAATTGCAAGACACGAAAGAACCTCCGCTCCCTTCTTTGCTTCGCGTCGGATACATACAAACGCAAATAAGGGTCGTGGCTACTTGGTCCTTACGATCTAGGAGAATCCTTGTCTAGTACTAGGAACGTGCAAGAATTCATTCGCCATTCCCTGGGTACGTTGGGACGAGCCCGGAACCGGTGTATGTGAATAAGCTTCCGCGAGCTCCTCCGTCTAGTGCTGTGGCTGAAGCTGCCGCTGCGTACGCTGGTCCCTCTGCGCCATCGCCTCCGCCTGCTGCTGCTGCTGCGCCGCTATGAGGGCCTGCTGCTTCTTCCTCCGGTGCCTGATGCGGTCCATCTCAATCTGCTCCCTCCTGCAATCGTCGCTGCAGAACGGTGTGTCCCCTCTGCTCCATCCGACCGATCGAGGCGGCATACGCACGCACGGAGTGTTAGCTTGTTAATAATCCTCTCCTTCAATTCATCGGCGCAAACAATCAGTATACGCGTAGGCAGGCAGGCATGCATGCAACCGACCTGTACATGAAGATGTCGCCGCAGAGCGCCTTGCGGCAGAGGGTGCACTCGTCCAGGAAGCTGTTGGGCTCCTCCGCCTCCGTGTCGGGGACGCAGAACATGGACGGCGCGCTCCTCGGCGTGGCCGATGTGGGGCTCCTGCCGTCCTCCGCCTTCGCGCAGCCGTCGGTGGAGCGCCGCGGGCGGTGGGCCTGCGCGCTGCCGGCGCTGCCGCCCGAGAACACCGCCGCGAAGTCAGGGTTGCCGAAGGCGTGGAAGTAGGACGACGTGAACTCCATCGGCCGGCCGGCGTCGTACGTCCCTGGCAAGTATGGCACGCGCGCGCGGGCCGGTCCAGGAGCTGTCGTCACGCCGCAAACGGAGGCGCAGGACGGCACCTGGGCTTGGCTTGGAGAGAGGAGAGGCGGAGGGGGGCTCGGTTTTAAACCAGCCTCAAGATGGTAACGGTATGGCGGTTAATTAACGAACTCGTATCTGGCTGGCTTCCTTGGTTCGTTGTTGCCAGGGGAGGGTTGGCGAGAACCACGGGTGAATGCATGCGGTTAAATCTGGCATGCCAGCCCAGAGGTGCCTTGTGCTCTGGCATACAGCTCCATTTACCTGTCGTGGTATGTTTTAAAGTTATTAGGTGCATCAACCCAAAGATAGTTACCACTATGGAAATTGAGGAGCTTTTCCCATTCTATGACTCGATGGGTAGAACTCAGAACACCACGCACACGACTAAAATTACAAAGTGAAAACAACAGATGCCTCTGGAAGGAAAAAAAAACCAACAAATTGCAGTCTGGGGCTCAGGGCGACAAGCAAGTACTACATTGTTTCCCCACGCCCCTTGTCAGCACCAATCGTGTTTATTCATGAATGAACACATTGACGTTGCAATCAAATGAGTAGCAGTCCATGTGATGGCAACGTACTAAATGGTTCGATTACCGCCCCAGCCAGCATCGACGGGCAAATGGTTCCGTGCACGCTGCTTCTCGAAAACAGCAACAGCATAATTGGCGTTTTCTAGTAATATATGCTCTGATGTCCATTTCGCAATCGACGCATCTGTGTGGTTACCGGACCGGGACCGGCATCAGGCCCTCCGCCCTCACATGGCTGCAGATGCAGCGGCGCCCGAGAGGGAGCACTACAGCTAGCACTAGCAGGCTAGCAGCCGGTGCACGGCCAGCGTCGCGGCGCGAGACGCGACACGTGCGAGCGCGCGCCGGGCGCTCACGCGTGCGGTGTGCCCCCCGAACGCCCGGCACTCGCCGCCGTCCTGTCCATCTCTCGGTGTCTCGGTGGCTGATGAGATGTCGTAACGTGTCAAGAATCTTGCACGGGGAGAAGCTCCCCAAGTGTGCCTTTCTTTAGGGTTTCGGAGGGCGCGTAGGCTGCCTAGAACGATTCTCTCTCTGGCTCTCCCTCTCTTCGGAGCGTGCGCAATGAAGAAATAATCGACGATCATCAGTGCGTGGGGGCCTTTGATGATTTGTTAACTCCGAATAGCACTTTCACTAGTACTGTTCGATTAGCACCTCTGTTTAATTATATGACCATTTCCGTTGGTGAAAGTCAGAGGCGAAGGCGATCGATATTGCAGTGTTTGGGATTGATTCCTGTGGCATGTCCGCCGTACAAACAGTACGGACCCGTAGCCTGTTCGCGTTTCTGCCGAAAAACCATGTCCTTGAATCAGTATTTCATAATTTCATTCAAACTGGATAAGTTGCTTGGTACTGTTGCATGAAACGTTTTCCAACTAGCTCATGGAAAACAAGAAGTGGCATACTGATAGATCATGAGTATGCCAGAGAGGCACGAATGATACGTCTAGGTGCTTTCGACCTACTGTACGTATTTTCGACCTGGACATGAAGGTGACATGCGAGGGGACGATGGTACGATTTTGGTTGTGTCCAGCGTATTGTAGAATCACGGTCCGTTCAGGTAGCCTGAAACCATGTTGCTGCAGAGTTTGCCAGAATATGGCACCTGCTGTTACCGTAGTCTGTTGCAAACTGATACTGCGTATGTGGAAACCACAGCTCGTATTCTGGAATTTGTTCATCATAGTAGGTACCGGAATGGTGGAGTACATGGCAATCGACACGGCTTGGTTGCGCCGAGTAACGGAACAAAAAGCTGTACTAATGCGGTAATCCGCACAAAAAAACCGGCAGACGATCTGTTCTTTCTCCGGCACAACAGGGACTCCGATCCGTCCCCTGGGCCTCAAGCGCTCAAGCTGCTCCCTCTTGTTCGCTGGCAAACAGCAAAGCTATAGCTGGAGGCCACAAGCGCTGAGCTTGAGGCGTCGAGACATGCGCAATGATTAAACTCTGAAGCCCACATGTCGTCGTCGTCGTGTTTCCGACGACGACGCTGGCTCGACCGATCACCGCGCCCAGAGGGGAATCCTCTGCGGGCTGCTGCTCTGCCGCTGCCGCTCCCGCTCCCGCTTCGCCGTCGCAGCGGGCTGCTGCCTGGACCTCCTCTCCCTCGCCTCGTCGGCCTCGATCTGCTGCTGCCGGCACTCATCGCTGCAGAACGGGGTGTCGCCCCCGCACATCCACGGACGGCCACGTGGGGGCCTCAACGGTTTCTGTTTTGGTCCCTCTGTTTCCTGTGCGCTTCCACGGTGCTCCTATGCAGTTTGCAGGTGTCCTTGACAGCTTGAGGTGGTTTTTTGTCTGTGCTTAGGTATGATGGAGGTTGGCCCTTCTAGTTTGGTTTGCGTTGTTGGCGTTTTCAGGTATCTCTTTGTTTTTTTTCCCTGGTAGAATGTTGTAAGTAAAAGTCATAAAATGTAGGGAAATTTTCTATATATCATTAGCTAAAACTTTTATCTCTGATATGTCCACCAAACAAACTCTTATCAATGCATCATCAATAAACTTTAATCTCTTTTACATCATTCTTGACCACATTTTTAGTTACACACAAATTTAATTAGTCCATTTTTTAATGCACCTGACATAAGCATGTGATGCAGATTGATGTACTAGTTTGTGAACTATGCAACTTTAGAATGATCTATTTACTTCAAACATAGGTACATCTAACGAGTGTTCGATAGGCTTAACCTCTGCAATTGCTGCCACACTCACATCCGAGCTGTAGCACGAGTGTAGCTAGCCAGCATGCCGAGCAATAGCAGCTAACAACCGTGTGTCATAAACTGCCTACACGCCAAGCAATCCACATAGTTGACAAGCCCAACAACACAGCAACACACACCACCTCTTCTCCGATCATACCATCGCCACCACATAGTTTTGTCCTAAGTCTCCATAATAGATGGAGTTTGTTTTCATTTGTATCATTGCTTATGCCTTGTCCGCCAATTATCCCCTCCGTCCCTTTTTATCTGTCGTTCTCACATCTCGAGAAATCAAACGTAGTCAACTTTGACTAAATACATATAAAATATTAAATTTTGTAATACATAATTAGTATCATTGATAGATCGTTAAATCTATTTTTATAATAAATTTATTTGGAGATACAAATGTTGCAATTTTTTTTTATAAATATAGTTAAAGTTACAAAGTTTGACCGGCACGCACGCATCCTATGATGACACTTAATAAGGGATGGAGGGAGTAGATGAGTTACTCCCGTCTAGTGTAATTTTTGGATCCAATGAGGATACCCATGGCATATATTACAAAACTAAAGTGAAATATAATTTTAAACATACAAAATATGTAATAAGACTATATAAGAAAATATCGATTCTATGGAAATAATTAGTGGCTTTATGGAAGTACAACAACAAACATGTGTGACCAAGGATACGCTTCTAATCTAAGCGATGACATCAAATATTCAAAGTTACACTTACATTTGTGTTGAAGGGAATATGAAATAAAATTCAGACACGTTAAGCGACACTCAGTGACTGATCTAATATATATTATGGCTTAAAGAGACATGTATATATGATATGATACCCGTATCGCCACACAATGATTGTACACACACTAAAGTGGGTTTGCAAAAAGTAAGAGGCCACAATATCTCTTTAACATTCATATACGTTTTGTGAAATGCTAATACCACATATAGTGCCTTTATAAAGGGGGAAAATACTCTAGAAAAAACAACCTGCCAGTCTTTGAATTTTGCAAGTAATAAGCTGGATGAGTGGAGCTGCACACTCACTACGGTTCCTTATTACAATCACAGCTAGCCACAATATATCCAACAAACAATGCAAACATCCTCCAATGAGAGGTGGATCCTCCAAAGAGAATAAGAAGGAGGTGGTTGGGCAACTGGCCAAGTTGCAACAAAATCTAAAGCTGGCTCCTTTGAGTGCTATGTGGCGAATCCGGCGCTAAGGAAAACCAGGGTGCAATCGTGCAGGTTGGTATGGTGCCCGCCTGATATTTTAACGGCCAGCGGCACCTCGTGGGCTCGTGGGACACCAAATCCAGTTATTCTATGCATTTTCATTGGCATTTTAAGTAGTTCAAGTACATGGTCTGTCCAATTAATTTGAAGCCTATATTAAAAGTTGGCTTCTAGAGCTTAATTGGTTCCTGAATCTTGGTTCTGGGGGGTGGCCTGGCCCTAAACAAGTTGCAGTTAAGGGTGCTAAGCAAGGCATGCTTTGCTTGGTCTCACACCAATGCTCTTTTGAATTGTGCGCAAATTGCGAGTTGAACTTAGGGTTCAAGTATTGTAAGATGGGGTTTAATCACAAGGATAGGGTCAACTACTCAGAAAACAAATGATAGGGTCAAAAAATATATATGATAGGGTCAACTTTGTTATGATCGATTTCAGGTCCAAAATAAGTGGTATTTGTAATAACTTTTTAAATGAGGGCATGAGACGTGAGTAAAGTACAGACTGCCCTTTTGAATTTGTTTTAGATGAATGAAATTTTTCACAAGATATGAGAAATTGCAAAACTTTTCTTCCGGTCCTCAGAGAAAGCTTTTCTTTTTTATTTTTTGGCAAATGCATGGAAACATTTCACGGAGAATTATTTTGATCTAGACCGTGGAATCGGCCCAGTTGTGATCTCACACCTATTCTCCTCTCACTATTTTCTAGCTGCTTCTACTTTTAGGGCTCATTCGGTTGTTCCGGAATGAGGCCAGGATTCGTTCCGGCTATTCAATTGCTATATAAATTAGCCTGTGGTTACAGGTGAAAATCTCCCATGACATAATTCCGAGAGAAACAACGGACCATTAGGAAACTGAATTTCAGTTAGCTAACCAAACTTACAGGAAAAGGGCTAGCCAAGCAGTTTAGTTACACTTACATTTGT